TTGGACATCCGCTTGGGCGACCTGGGCATGTGAAAACAAGTGTTTCGCTCAACACATCCCCATGTTAGACATCCGCCTCGGCGACCTGGACATGTGAAAACAAGCGTCTTGCTCGAGGCATCCTCAACACATCTTCATGTTAGACATCCGCCCGGGCGACTTGGGCACATGAGAACAAGCGTTTCGCTCGAGACCTTCTCAACACATCCTCATGCTAGACATCCGCCAGGGCGACCTGGACACGTGAAACCAAGCGTCTCTCTCGAGACATCCGCAACAGATCCAGATGTTAGACACCCGCCTGGGCGACTTGGGCACGTGAACACAAGCGTTTCGCTCAACTCATCTTCATCACATCCTCATGCTAGACATCCGCCTGGGCGACGTGGACACGCTAAAACAAGCGTCTCTCGAGAGACATCCTCAGCAAATCCTCCTTCTAGACATCTGCCTAGACGACCTGGACGCGTGACAACAAGCGTCTCGCTCGAGACATCCTCAACAAATCCTCATGTTAGACATCCGCCTGGGCGACCTGGACATGTGAAAATAAGCGTCACGCTCGAGACATCTTCAAGACTTGGGCACGTGAAAACAAGCATTTCACCTGAGACATCCTCTGAATACGGGTCCCCAGGAGAGGAACGAACTATAGCACAAAACAAACGTTTCGTTCGAGACATCCTCAACAAATTATGCAAAACATGCATTTCGCGTAAGACATCCGCAACAAACGAAATTGCTTATTTTACCATGTGTTTTATCGATCGGACTTTCAAAAACCAGCGTTTCGCTCGGGACATCCTCAACATTAAATCCGCTTGTCCACCTCGATTTTGTTATTGATCAAGGAAAGAATACGCCGGCCCTCTTCGAACTTGGCGCTGGGGGACAGGTTTACCTGCTAAGAGAAAACCCTGGGCCCCCGCCCTCTCTGGGAACATGATCGACCCAGATCGCCGTAGCGCCGCGCACATTTGTTTTGAAAGCTTCCAGGTGTCGCACAGATGAAGGGCGGCTCTTTTCCAACATCGAGTTTTCGGCTGGGCTTCCTTGATCGCTGTGACCCGAAGAGGTAAAAGGTTGCAATAGCGGAGTGGTGGTGTTTCGTTGTCAAACTGGGGTTCACGCTGGAGACTTCATTGGGTTTAACGATAATACCTCGTAGTTGCCCTTACAGCAAGAAGCATTGATGGCAGCTCCTTTTCGAATCGGGGCTCTCGCCTGAATAGCATTCAGCGGCGCTCGTCTTTCAAGGGGGTATTCTCCGCAGTGGGAACCATGCAACGACGCATGAAGAGGTTACTTGGGATGGGCGGGCGGTGACACATCTTGAGTTCAGTCTGGTCCTCCTCATCCTCCTGGGCATCCTGCTGCTGCTGCTGCTGCTGCTCCTCCTCCTCCTCCTCCTCCTCTTCCTTTTCCTTCTGCCTCCAGGCGCTCTCTCCATCCCTCTCTCTCTCTGTCTCCTTCTGCCTCCTCCCGCCTTTGTCCTGCCCTTCCTCGCCATGTTCCTGCTTATCCTTATCCTCCCTTGTCCTCCTCCTCCTCCTCCTCCTCCTCCTCCTCAGCTTCTCTTCCCCTGCGGATGTGCTGGATGGGTCCAGTGGAGATCATGCCCTGAGAAGCCGAGGTGCTATAGCGTAGGAATACGTGTCCTCAGTTCCGTCCCTTCCTTCCTCCTCCTCCCCCATGCGGGCGTGGGCGCAGGTCCAAATTTTCGCGGGAGGGTGGATCACCTCCCAACGGGTTCACGTTTTGGCATCGCTCTCATACAGTTTCATGTGCGAGGATTGTCTCGACTCTGTCTCCCAGTACATCGAGTGTCCTCTTCTCCTCCATCTCATCGCTCTTCTTGGACGCATTTTGTGTACTCACTTGTCCCATGGTCCGCCTCGGACTTGGTTTTGGATCCGAATGCAATGTGACTGAGTTTTCTCGTGAGTGAGCTCACGTCTTGATTGCTCTTGGTTTCCATATACACATATATCGGAGGTTGGGGGGTAAGTCCGACGTGAAACGGAGACCCCCCTACCAGGAAATCGATTTCGGGTTCGGCTTCGTGTCGTGCGCACCGTGCGCGCGCGCGCGGGCGAGGCGAAGCTGCGTGGGCGGGAAAGAGGAAATCTACTTGTGGCTGGGCCGCGGCCAGACCAAATGTTTCTCCTTCGGCGGCAGGTGGCCCGCGGTGTCCCGCTGGTGTCCCGCTGGTGTCCCGAAATCCTCCTGTGGCTGGGCCGCGGCCGGACCAAATGACTAAATGTTTCTCCTCCGGCGGCCAGTGTCCCGCGGTGTCCCGCGGTGTCCCGTGGTGTCCAGTGGTGTCCCGTGGTGTCCTGTTGAGTGAGATTGATAGTGAGATCGATACTGAGATCGATACTGAAATCGATGTGGTGCCCCGAGGTGTCCCGTGGTGCCCCAGAAAGTGAGATCGACAGTGAGATCTACAGGTGTCCCGTGATGTCCCGTTGGGTGAGATCAACAGTGAGATCGATAGTGGGATCGATAGCGAGATCGGTGTGGTGCCCCGAGGTGTCCAGTGGTGTCCCGTGGTGTCCTGTGGTGCCCCATGGTGTCTTATGGTGTCCCGTTGAGTGAGATCGATAGTGAGATCGACTGTGAGACCGATAGTGAGATCGAGAGGTGTCCCGCGGTGTCCAGTTGTGTCCCGTGGTGGCCCGTGGTGTCCCGTGGTGTCCCGTTGAGTGAGATCGATAGTGAGATCGATTGAGTCAGATGTTGGTTCCCCCCTCTCCCCCCCCCAACCACAACATCCGTATCACCCGAAGGGTGGTCGCATAGGTATACATATATATATATACCGCATAGACCACCCTTCGGGTGATAAGGAGGTGACGGGGGGGGGGACGGACCAACGTCGCACTCGATTGATCTCACTATCGAACTCACTACCGATCTCACAATCGATCTCAATCGATAGATCTCATTATCGATCTGACTATCGATCTCACAATAAATCTCACAATCGATCCCACAATCTATCTCACATTCGGTCTCGCTATTGATCTCACAATCGATATCACAATCGATCTCGCATTCGATCTGACTATCGATCTCACTATCAAACTCACTACCGATCTCATTATCGATCTCACATTCGGTCTCACTATCGATCTCACTATCGATATCACAATCGATCTCACAATCGATCTCGCATTCGGCCTGACTATCGATCTCTCTATCGAACTCACTTTCGATCTCATTATCGATCTCACTATCGATTTCACTATCGATATCACAACCGAACTCACAATCGATCTCACATTCGGTCTCATCATCGATCTCACTATCGAAATCACTACCGATCCCATTACCGATAATGATATCATCACTAACTCAATGGATCGATCTCACAATCGATCTGACTATCGATCTCACAACAGATTCCACAATCGATCTCACATTCGGTCTCACTATCGATCTCACTACCGATATCACAATCGATCTCACAATCGATATCCCATTCGGTCTCACAACCGATCTCACTATCGATCTCATTATCGATCTCACATTCGGTATCACAATCGATCTCACAATCGATCTCACAAGCGATCTGACATTCGATCTCACAATCGATATCACAATCGATATCACTACCGATCTCACTGTCGATCATCAAAACAAAACATCAACATCGTCATCATCATCACCATCATCATCATCAATATCATCACCATAATCGGGACACCGACGGGGCACCGGCGGGACACCGCGGGCCCCGGGCCGCCCGGAAGGGCATCATTTGGTCCGGCCGCGCCTCAGCCACACGGGACACCAGCGGGACACCGGCGGGACACCGCGGGGCCCCGGCCGCCCGGAAGGGAATCATTTGGTCCGGCCGCGCCTCAGCCACGGGAGACTTTCCTCTCGCCCGCCCACGCAACTTCGCCTCGCCCGCACGCACGGTACGCACGAACACGAAACCGAAATCGATTTCCCGGTAAGGGGGCTCTCCGTTCCACTTCGATCTCACCCCCTCACCTCCGATATATATATATATATACACATACATACATGCCATGAGTTATGAAGTGTTCTATTTGATCAGTCTCACATGTTCGATCATTACAGCATGATTCTCCAGGCGAGGCATTCTGCCCTCCTGGCCTGCCAATCTCGCAGTCAATAGTGGTTGCACGACTCATCCCCCTGGGTTTCCTCGTCCTCTTCCTCCCCCTCTTCCTCCTGTTTGCCGGCCCCTCCTCCCGGTGCCTCCTCTTCTTCAGCATATTTCCACGGTCGTATTGTCGTTCCTTCTATTCCTCTTCTTCCCACTCCTCATCGCCCCCCTCGTCCTGCTCCATATCCCCATCCTCGTGCTCACTTTCCTCATCCTCCCCATTCCCTTCTCATCCTCCTGCCAAGTCTCCTCCCCTCCCCTTGCTTCCCCTCCTCCTTCTGTTCCCCCGGGGACTCTTCTGTCCCCCCTCGTACGAGTCACCATCCTCCTCGTCACGGGGCCCTTTCTGAGCTCTGCCTCTTTGGGGGAGAGTCCGAGAGGCGGGCCCAGTCACGGCGGCCACGCCATGATTTCCGTGCCATCGGGGCGCCAGCGGGTGATTCGTTGGCGCTCGTCGTGTCCTCCCTCCCTGACCCCGTCCCCCGCCTCCCCGTCTACATGCATCCTCCCTCCGTCTCTCCCTGCCACGCGGCCAAGCGATTCAGAAGCTCCCAGGGCGGGTCGCAGAGACCCGCTGGTAGGTGGACGGCTAGAAAGACATTCCTAGTTCGTCGCCGTCGATCCCGTCGAGACCGCCAGGCCGCAGTCAGCGACGCAGACGAGAAACGGCTATTTGTCGAGTCGTCCTTGCCCGATCTGTTTTGCAACCGCTCGGTCGCATTATCTATGTTCTCCCCCCCCCTTCGCTTCCCTCCCTGTCTGGTTGTGCCCTCCCTCCCTCTCACCCCCATGTGCCTCCCGCCCGCTCCCGCGGCGCCCACCAGCGCAGCCCCCCCTCTCCCCCAACGGGGGCACGGAGGACATATTCGAGAAGTACCACAGGATGTGCACGTCTTCAGAGCCGCCCCTGAAGGAGCGAGCGGACGTCGCCGTCGTCTTTCCGTCTCTCCTCATCAGCAGCAGCATCGTCATCAGAAGCGTCACCAAAGTCATCGTCAGCATAATCCCCACACCCCTCCTCCCCTCCTTCCCTCCCTACCCTCTCCTCTCTCCCTCCCCTCGCTCCTCCTCTTGCCTCTTCACCCTGCTTATCCTCCCTCATTCCCTCCCTCCCTGACTCCTCCTCGAGACCATCCCGCTGACGGGGTCGCACCCGCAACTGGTTCAGCAGTTAGCGCAGAAACATGTGCGGAAGGCTCTTGTGCAGAGCACTTGACGGTCGTTCCAGCGAGCAAGCAGGCGCGTCGATTTGAATCCCCATGCGCGCGGCCAGAGGTTGCTCGCAGCCTGCGACTCCGGATCGCACCAGCCCGAGATGCTCCAGAAATCGCCCACTTGTGCCATGGCCCAATGGCCCAATGGCCCCTGGAACGAAGTGCCACGCCTCCAACCGATCTCTTTGATTCCGGCCTGCATCAGCCCAAATTCCACGGTAAAGTTCAGCAAGGCCGTGGCGCGTGACCCTCTTCCGGGCCCCTGCCCACCCGCGCTGCTCTCAGAGGGCCGTTCCGCTGGGAAGCCACGGCGTGGCCGCCCCTGGCGAGAACTGGATAGTGCGTGCGGCTTCCGCGTTCGGCGCAATTGTGTGACTGGGATTGCACCGGCACTCGTCACGGGCATCCAGGCACGTGGCCTGCGCGTCTTTCTCACGCAGTGGAGGTTGCTAAAGGTGCCCCTGACCCAAGGTGCCCCCAGATTTTCGCTCAATGTTGGAGTCCCTGAGGCCTTCTGGGCCTCGTAAGGAGTACCTGACACTGGGGTGACACTATATCTGACGAACTGCAGTTGGGTTGGTTCTGGTGCACTCACACCACTAGATTGCGCGGACCTCCCTCGGCTTGCGCGGAGAGGCAGAAAGCCGAGACCCCAACGCCGCTGTCTGGGTGCAGGGTTACCTCTCGGCGCTGCACAGTGAGCACGGGCCCCCGATCGCGACAACGAGCCAAAATATTGCATCCAGCTTCCACGACAGCCGCGCCAGCATGGCATACCAAGGTTTACCACCTGTTGTGGAAGGCGCCAGGCAGGCTGCCACATGAGCCGCTTATGGACCCCCTGCCCGGGCACCCGAGCCTCAGCACTTGCCGCTGCCATCTCTCAAGGACGACACGCTTCACTGATCACCACTTTGAGGTCGCTAAGCCCCGAGGAGATCGCACCAGTCTGGCTGCTGCGACGACCCTCGGAGCAAAGTGCCGAGAGCCGTTCGGCTATAAACAAAGAGCGCAACTTCGAGATCGTTTAAGTTTTGGCTCTGCAGCCAGTTCAGTGCGCAGATCGCAGCCAAGAGTTCCCAGGTTGCGTTTTCCTGTAGGACACTCAGCGGCAAACGGCGCCGGACACGCAGGCCGAGGAGCAAGCGCGCGAGTTGGGCAAAAAATTGGCCCAGGCGAGGTCTTCTCCGCCCGTGGAGTTGGCGTAGACTACTCACTTGGTCCCCGCGGTAGGCCGCGAGCAAATTGCACGCCGCTGCGGCACATAGTCGAGGAAGCGGGACCACTACCGGAGCGCGCGCTCCAGTCAGCCCGACATTTTCATTGACCCTTCCGCAGCGCAGCGGAACGTGGGCGCCAAGAGCGCACGTGCTGTTCAGCCGACATGATCGACCCACGAACTCGGAAAGGAATATATAGAGATGTAAGGCATGGCAACGCTTCAAAGACACCTGATTGGGCGACGGGCAAATTCAATGCTGAATGTATCGATCTTGATGTACCATGCCGAAGGATGTGCTGTTGTGCGCCGTGCTGAACTGCGATGTGCCATGCCGCGATTGTGCCCTATAGCGTAGTGGATCGAGTCCTCTTTTGCATCCGAGTCCTGACCGAACCGATCTGGATCTTAAGCTCGAGCTGCCTGGGCACATAGTAGCTGCCCCAGAGCAAATTGACAAGGGGACATGCCAGGAGGACGCGCCGCTGAACGTCCCAAGGGACGCGCCAGGCGACGTGCCAGATGACGTGCCATGGGGACGCCCCGCGGGGCGTGCCAAGGGGACACGCTACGGAACGTGCCAATGGACGTGCCGCGGGACGTGCCAAGGGGACACACTACGGAACGTGCCAGCGGGACTCGCCACGGGACGCGCCACGGAACGTGCCAGGAAACGTGCCAGGTTGCAATGTTGAGTGTATCGATCTTGATGTACCGTGCCGAGGGCTGTGTTGTTGTGCGCCGTGCTGAACTGCGATGTGCCATGCCGCGATTGTGCTCTATAGCGTTGTGGATCGAGTCTTCCTTTGCATCCGAGTCCTGACCGAACCGATCTGGATCTTAAGCTCGAGCTGCCTGGGCACATAGTAGCTGCCCCAGATCAAATTGACAAGGGGACATGCCAGGAGGACGCGCCGCTGAACGTCCCAAGGGACGCGCCAGGCGACGTGCCAGAGGACGTGCCATGGGGACGCACCGCGGGACGTGCCAAGGGGACACGCTACGGAACGTGCCAATGGACGTGCCACGGGACGTGCGCCACGGAATGTGCCAGGGAACGTGCCAGGTTGCAATGTTGAGTGTATCGATCTCGATGTACCGTGCCGAGGGTTGTGTTGTGCCTGGGAGGTGCTGAACTGCGATGTGCCATGCCTCCTGGTGCCTCCTGGGGCCTCCTGCAGCGTTAGGAACCCATGTGTGTTTGCACTTCTCCCTCCCTGGGGCGTTAGGAGCCCATGTGTTTTCACACTTGTCCCGCCCGGGGGCGTTAGGAACCCATGTGATTTCACACTTCTCCCGCCCTGGGGTGTTAGGAACCAAGTGTTTTCACGTGTGTCGCGCTCTGGGGCGTTAGGAACACATGTGTTTTCACGCTTCTCCCGCCATGGGGCGTTAGGAACCCATGCGTTTTTACGCTTGTCCCGCCCAAGGGCGTTTGGAACCCATGCGTTTTCACGCTTCCCCAGCCCTGGGGCGGACAACCATGTTAGATATTCCCTTAGGTGGCCTGGACATGTAAAAACGCAGAGTTCCAGCTGTGGACAACCATGTTAGATACCCCCTGCGTGGCCTGGATACGCTGAATTCGCGCTCCCGTTCGAGACATCCTCGAATGTCTTCCCTGGAGAGGCCCCCAAAGCGCCACCCCCTGTCCAGAGCAAGAAAACATAATCCTTCTGTACTAGGATATGTGTTCGGGTAGCGCTTTTCAGCCCCCCGTCCGTTTCCTGATGATTCGATGTTGGGCCGGACGCCATGTTAGATACCCCCTGGGCGGCCTGGACATGTAAAAACACGTGGTTCCAGTTCGGGACAGTCATGTTGGATACCCCACTGGGTGGCCTGGACATGTAAAAACACATGGTGCCAGCTCCGGGCAACCATGTTAGAAACACCCTTGGGTGGCATGGACACGTTGAAACACGTGGTCCGTGCTCGGGACAACCATGTTAGATCCCCCTGGGTGGCCTGGACACGTAAAAACACGTGGTGCCAGCTCCACGTCTGGGCAACCATATTAGAAACACCTTTGGGTGGCCTGGACATGTTAAAACACTTGGTCCTTGCTCGGGATAACCATGTTACATACCTCCTTGGGTGGCCTGGACACGTAAAAAGACGTGGTGCCAGCTCGGGACAACCATGTCAGGCACACCCTGAGTAGCCTGGACATGTTAAAACGCGTTAAAACGCGTGGCCCTTGCTCAGGATAATCATGTCAGATACCTCCCTTTTGTGGCCTGGACACGTAAAAACACGTGGTTCCTGGAAGTACAAACCAATCCCCAACAAATTATGCAAAACGAGCGTTTCGTTGGAGACATCCGCAACAAACGAAAATGCTTACCTTACCTTGTGTTTTATCTATCGGAATTTAAAAAATCAGCGCTTCGCTCGGGACATCCTCAAAGTTCAATTCCGCCGGCCCACCCTTTTCTTTTTATTCATCGCAGAAAAATTCCGCTGGCCCATCTCAGGTCGGGGCCTGGGGAAAACAAAACTAAAAGAGAACCCTGGGCCCACGCCATATCCAGGAAAAACTGCAGAGGTTCCCCAGTTGTTTCCGCTAGGGGGCAGCGCTTGCCGCGTGAGAATGGCCCGAATATGGTTTTTCCGATGCGTGAGTTTCATGGCCGAGCGATTCTCGCAATCGACTCCCAGGATTCGAGCGGAGGCGGAGACAGACACTAGCATAAAGGCGTCAAGCTCCCATGCCGATAAGTCTGAAACAATGTCTACGGCGACGTCGCCGGCCCCAGCAAGCGTCGCGAAGTGTGGGGCCCCTGCAGGGGTTCTGTCAAGTCCGAAGAGGTCGCCAACGAACCGCAGGAAAACAACAAAGAATAACCTGGCCAACATTGCCCGGACAGCAGCGCCGAATCGTTCCCAGTTAGTTGTTCACGAACGCTACCGCGCCGAAGAGGCATGCGAGAAGTTGAAGGCCTTGGCCGCGGGACTCGGCCGAGCCCCAAGTCACCAAGGCAAATTGCAGGCGTGAGCTCGCAAGTGGGAGAGTTTTGAACGCACTAACGAGATTCTCCTTCCGAAATTCGGTTCCGCCAGCGCCGGGGAGGATTACCTTGCACAGGATTGCCGCAAATGTGTCTAAACTGTGGCGCTGGACAGCCTCGCCCACAGAGACAGTTGCATTGATGCGCGATGCGGTGAAACCATCGGTGCAGCGTGCCTTCTTGTGAGTTCCCTTCTCAACCTCCGTCGGCTGGAAACCTCGCCGCGTGGACGCACGTGTCACGCAGAGGGCGCCGCCTCACGTTACCGTCGCTGGTCTCTTGGTCGCATTTTTCTTGAAACGCAGCGGTAACGGACTGCTCCACAGCCGCAGGCCGTCGCACACGCCGAAGCGCGTCAGCGTTCAGCGCGGGCGCCTGAGCTTGCAAAGAAGCTCTAGTTTCGGGGCAGTCCGAAAAAGGGATGCTTGCCAGCACCCCACGACGCGTGATTTGGCCAATCTGCGGGAAATCGTTTTGCAGGTCCCCGAGAAGCCAGGCATCCGGCCAGCTGATCGCCTCGAGCATCTACACCAGCACTAGCAAATTGCAACGAGATTTGGGGCCGATAAAAAACCATAGGGGGGAGGTCTGAATCCTTGAAAGGGCTCTACTGTCCTCCGGCGTCATCGTCACTGACTTCCGACTCTGGGTCTACTTCTGGAGCCCCTCGGGCCCCTGCGACGGCCCTCAAGTAGGCCACAGGTTCCTCCCGGGAGGCTGGGAGCAGCCAGAGAGGCCCCCAATGGGGCCTCGGGGCCACGCCGAGGACGGCCCTGAGAAGGTAGTCGGCCGTCTCGGCCAACCTCACCTCCAGGGACCAGTTACGGGACGCCCTGCTGCGGCCTGCCCGGGAGGGTCGGCCGCCGCAAGCCCCCATGCGGGAAGAGGGGATATTTTTCCTCCACCGCGCATTTGAGCCAATCGACAGCGCCACAAAACTACTGGGAGGCATCCGCATGCAGGCGTAGTGTCGCACAGCATTTGGATGACCTCCCTCCCTCCCAGGTTCACGCGGGCGTAGGGGCGCACCGCATTCCCCTGAGAGGCGCAAGCATGCACGCATGTACAAGGACTTGCTTCGCGCTGCTGCTGGTGACCCGGCCGCCGGTGACCTTTTTTGAGGTCGCCGAAGGTCTTCGGAGGTCACTGGCCAGAGTTCGCTGGCCAACAACATCGGTGCCCTTTTGGAGGCCGCTTGAGGCCGAAAAAGGGCACCGGCCAAAAGGTCCTGGCCAACGGGGGCCAGGGGAAAAACGCAACACCGTATCACACAGGAAGAGGAAAGGGAGATAGAGACAGAGAGCGACAGAACACCAAAGACGAAAACCGACCATTTTTGACTGAAAATGGTCGGCTTCTCTGGCGGCTTAAAACTAACCTACTCATACTCTCAGGCTGCTGGTGCTACAGAGCTGATGCTGCTCATCGATGCTAATGCTGCGCTCCCTGACCCACGGAATCCCCCCTACCCCCCTGGGGGGTGAATTACTCGGGGGGTCCAGAACCGATCCCCCCCCTCCGCCCACCCCGCCCGCCCCTGGGAAAATTATTACAGTGGTTCAGAAACCCCCCACATCCCGCCGGCAACAAGGACGAAGACGACGACGACGACAACGCACGACGCACGACGACCACGACGACCGCGACGACGCCGACGCCAACGCCGACGCCGACGACGACGATGACGACGACGACGGCGACGACCACCACCACCACCAAGGCGCCACGGAGAGTCCATGGCCTGGCAGGCGGCGGCTGGAGAAGAGGACCAGGAGGGCAGAAGCGACGGGCAGCGGCCGGGGGCGCCGCCTGGCGCTAGCTCGCAGCACCCAGCGTGGTGCCGTCTGAGCCAGCGCTAGAGAGGAGGGAGGAGGGAGGAGGGAAAGAGGGAAGAAGGAGGAGGAGGAGTAGAAGGAGGAGTAGGAGGACGACGACGACGACCACCACCACCACCACCAAGAAGACGACGACGACGACGAAGACGATCGAGCCCTAGTGGGTTGCGATGACAAAAGGATCGAGCACTAGTAGGATTCTATGAGAGCTGGATCGAGCCCTACTAGGGTGCTGTTGAGTTGGATTCAGCCCTTGTAATAGATGCATACAAATGTACAAAAGATGCTGCATCAATGCGAATAGAAACCCCTCAGGCCTGAATCTAGCCCTAAAGCTGGACCCAGCCGTAGCAGGATTCTGTTAGAGTTGGACCGAGCCTTCGTAGGGTTCACTTAGAGTTGGATCCAGCCCTGGTAGGTTTTTAGAGCTGGATCGAGCCCTAGTAGAATCTCATCAGAGCTAGGTCGGGCCTTACGAGGTTGTTTAGAGAGCTTGATCGATCCCTAAAAGTATGTCATTAAAGCTGGATGGAGCCCTAGCAGGATTCCATTAGAGCTGGATCGAGCCCTAGTAAGATCCGATTGGATCCAGTCCTGTAGGAATTCTACGAAAGCGAGATCCAGCCGCAGTGGGGTTCCATTACAGCTGGATCGACCCCTAGCGATATAGATCATTTGTCGAATTGGACTCAAGCATAATAGAATTCCATTAGAGCTGGATCAAGCCCTGGTGGGATTTCTTCAGAGCTGGACCCAACCCTAACAGGATTGCAGTAAAGCTGGATTGAGACTTAAAACGGGATTCCACTTGAGCTGTATCCAGTAGAGGTGGACCCAGCCCTAGTAGGATTCTATACAGCTGAGTCGAACCTGTGTAAGATCCGATGAGAGCTGGTAGGATTCGATGGGATTTGGATCCATCCCCACCAGCAGGATTCTATGAGAGCTGGGCCGAGCTCTAGCAGGATTCCGAGGTAACCGGGCCGAGCCCTGGCAGCGTTCTATTAGAGCCGGCGCCTGGCGCTGGCGGCGGCAACATTGGCGCCGCCGCTGACGTTGTCGCCGTCGTCGGCGTCGTCGCCGTCGTCGTCGCCGCCGTCGTCGTCGTCGTTGCCGGGGGCGGGAAGGTGCGGAGGGTTTCTGGACCCCCCGAATAATTGTCCCAGAAGGGGGGGGAGGAGTTATTGGTGGGTGCGGCCCTTCGGTTCCTGACCCCGCCTTCGGATTTCTGTTGTTTGGGAGGGGGGGGGGCCTGTTTTGTAATCTTCATTATAGAAATTCGTCAGGCCACCGACAGTGGATTGTGCCCCCTCGCTTCAAGGATGGAGGACGGCACATGTTCAAAATGTTGTGCTCGATTCAACGCCGCGCACGTTCATTTTTTAATGTTGAAAAAGCTTCCAGTATGGAGGTTGACTCCTTCTCAACATGCTACTCTCGCTTGAGCGCCGTCCGCATTCGTCTTCAAAGTTGCGAAAAACTTCAACGGCTTGTATGGTTGAAGAGTCAGGGATGGCGTCCTGGCGGGATGTAGGTTAGTCAGGATGCAACAGCCACGTTTTTTTCGCGCTGTTTGAATTCAAAAAATATGTGTTGGCACGATTTAGGATTGTCACGACGCAGCAGTCACATCCAGTATCGGCGTTGAAGTTTCAGGAATTGTGCTTTGGCGCGATTCCGGATTCTCACACGGTTGGCTTCCAATGGGGCATTTCCCGCACGGAATGGGAAATCATGCATGGATTCATGAAGAGGGGACTTGGAGGGAGGGTTGATCGAAACATCATTGATGCGTCTTGTGTTTACATTGGTCTTCTTCTTCCTCATCATCATCAGCAGCATCATGTTCATCATCCTCATCCTCCTCCTTGTCCTTCTCCTCCTCCTCCTCCCAGTTCTACCCTCGCTCTCTCTCTCTCTCTCTCACTCTGTATTCCTCCTTCTCCTCCTCCTCCTCCTCCTCTTCCTCCTCCTCCTCCTCTTCCGCCTTTTCTTCCTGATCCTCATCCTTCTCCTCATTCTCCTCCTCCTTCTCCTCCTCCTCCTCCTCCTCCCCCAAGGAGATCGAAGTGTTCGAGCCGGACGTGAACTGGAGGGCCCTGGTGATGAGCCTCCCCTCCCCACAGAACCAGGAGGTCCTGGGCACGGGCATCCACAAGGCGCCGGGGAGGGGAGGAGTGAGGCAGCGGAGCTCCCCATGTGGCCACGGAACGTGTGATGGGTGTGCCCACATGGGCGGGGTGTCGCAACGCACACACTAGGGTTTCAGGTGGAACCCTCTGTGGGACCACGAAACGTATGAGGAGTGTGCCGAAATTGGCGCGGTGCCGCCATGCGGACCCTGCTGCTGCGGCGCCGGGTGGAGCTCTCAGTGGGGCCACGAAACGTGTGAGGGGTGTGTTGGCGCGGCGCCGCCATGCGGACCCTGCCTCTGCGGCGTTGAGTGGAGCCCCCACTGAGGCCACGAAACGTGTGAGGGGTGTGCCGAATTGGGCGCGCAGAGCAGAGGCAGGAGAGGAGCAATAACGAGAGGGGGGGGGCAGCGGGAGGGAGTGCAGCGTGGCGCTGCGTAGTCAAAACGAGGACCCAACAACGCAGGATCGTCGGGAAAGACGACCTCAACGACGGCGGCGGGAAAAACGTCCAAACCACAAACGCCAACCTGGACAAAATAATTACCCTGGGCAAGGGATCGGGAGCCCCAGAGGCCAGCGACTCGAAAAGATCCAGCCGTCAAATGTTTGGGTCGGAGGACACGGAAGGTGTGTGTTTTCAAGCGTTGCGCCCACGTGGGTTCGTGCGCAGACCCGGCGGCGGCGGTGGTGATGCACGTGCATCTCCTTCGCCCCCTCCCCCCCCCCCTCCGAGGGTCGCAGAGGTGTGTGGAAGTGCAGGGGGGGGAGGCCGAGGAAAGAGGAGGATCGAGGAGGATCGAGGACAGAGGAGGGCCGAGGAGGCAGAGGCGACAGCGGAGGCCCACGAGCCAGAGGGCGGGAGCCAGCGGGGCAGCAGGACGAGCGAGGAGTCGGAGGGAGGAGGCCAGCTCCGCTGCCGCCTCGGAGCCTGGCCCCCGCGGAGGTCCTCGGGGGGCCTCTAGAGGCCCAGGCGCCCCCCCCAAAAGAACATGATGGACCCACGAACCCGGAAAGGGATATATATATATATATATATATATAGATCGACATGTGCAGCATGGTCACATTTTCAAGATACCCAATTGGGCGACACCTCACGAAACATCCCACGAGACACCCCGCGAAACATCCCACGAGACACCTCACGAAACATTCCACGAGACACCTCACGAAACATTCCACGAGACACCCCGTGAAACATTCCACGAGACACCCCACGAACAGGCAACCACTCAACCAGACACCCCACGAAACATTCCACGGGGGTGCGACTGGGTGTGGTCGTGCTGGGGTGTGGTCGTGCTGGGGTGTGGTCGTGCTGGGGTGGTCGTGTCGTGCTGGGGTGTGGTCGTGCTGGGGGGTCGTGCTGGGGGGTGGTCGTGCTGGGGGGGTGCTGTCGTGCTGGGGCGTGGTCGTGCTGGGGCGTGGTCGTGCTGGGGCGTGGTCGTGCTGGGGTGGTCGTGCTGGGGTGTGGTCGTGCTGTGGTGAGGTCGTGCTGGGGTGTGGTCGTGCTGGGGTGTGGTCTTGCTGGGGTGGGTCGTGCTGGGGTGGTCGTGCTGGGGTGTGGTCGTGCTGGGGTGTGGTCGTGCTGGGGCGTGGTCGTGCTGGGTCGTGCTGGGGTGTGGTCGTGCTGGGGTGTGGTCTTGCTGGGGTGGGTCGTGCTGGGGTGTGGTCGTGCTGGGGTGTGGTCGTGCTGGGTGCTGGGGTGGTCCGCACCCTGTGATTTATCGATCGGGTCGTGCTGGGGTGTGGTCGTGCTGGGGCTGGGGTGTGGTCGTGCTGGGGTGTGGTCGTGCTGGGGTGTGGTCGTGCTGGGGTGCGTGCTGGGGGGGGTCGTGCTGGGGTGTGGTCGTGCTGGGGTGTGGTCGTGCTGAGGTGGCCCGCACCCTGAGATTTATCGATCAGGATGTCAAAAACAAGCGTTTCGCCCAAGACATCCTCAAATGTTAATCCGCTGGCCCACCTCGACCTCGATATTCATCAAGGAAAGAATCCGCTGGCCCACCTCAGTTGAGGCACCGGGGACAAGTTTACATACTGAAAGAGAACCCTGGGCCTATGCCCTTTCCGGGAAAAAACAACAGCGGCCTCCCCAGAGGCGTCCGAGGGCATCCCCCCTCGATCCTCGAGGGTCGCGGGCAGACATCGATCAAGAGGAGGAGGAGGAGGAGGAGGAGGAAGACTTGTGCAAACCCAAGACTCATCAACGATGTTGGAATACACCCTCCCTCCAAGCTCCCTCTTCACAGGCTGAGGGAACCGCCCCGTTGGGGGACAACCGTGTGAAAATTCCGAAGCGTGCCACAACACCATTCTCAGGAGTTCAACGGCATGAGTCAACCTGACAGTTGCGTCTTGACGATCGTGAATATTGCCAGAACCCAATTGCTGGGACTTCAACACCGCGAGTCAACGTAATTGTTGCCCCCTAGCAGTCATGAATCGTTCCAGAACTCCATGTCTGGTGCGTCAGCCATGAGAACCAGTGAAACTCTTGCAAATGTTTGACACGAGTGTGCGCGGCGCTACGGCGAGAACCACATTTTGAAACGGAACCGCCTTGAAACCGTGAAACGCTCGCCATTGCTTAGAACAAATGCGCGCGGCGCTATGGCGAGAGCCCATTTGGAAAAGGAATCGCTCTCGATCCGTGAAACTCTTGTCTTGCAAATGTTCAACACGAACGCGCGCAGCGCGAAGGCGAGAGCCACATTGTGAAAACCACCCGCCCTCCATCCGTTAAACTCTTGCAGTAACACGAATGTGCGTGGCGCTAAGACGAGAGCCACATGCTGAAAACGACCCGCCCTCAATCCGTGAAACTCTGGCTTTGATTTTACACGAATGTGCGCGGCGCTGAGGCGAGAGCCACATTTTGGAAGCGACCCGCCCTCCATCTGTGAAACTGTTGCCGGCTTCCCAGCTTCAGGCTCATAAATGGTAAGGAAATCTTAAGCAAATCGCCTGGCCCGCCCTTCCGACTGGCCTCGGGGCCCAACAGGGATAAGCCATTCGCACGGTAACCCGTAAGGAAAAGGAATGGAGGATGTTTGAAGCAGTATGGCTTAGGGGCGCCTTAACCCCGTTGGTGGGAGCAGAGGCCTGGTACACCACCATGGTGAACCACTCGAGGACAGGGCAGCCGTGGATACGATGGGATTGCTGGAGAGCTTTCCAGAAAGCCCACTGGCTTTGTCCAAGCACCATGTCCTGCCTCGAGTGCGACGGTTCAGCTTGAACCTCGTGCCCGATGAGGCTATGCAGCCAATCCGAAGGTTCCTTAGGCTCAAGCTGGACCGTGGGAAATACTGAAGAGATTCCCCTATGCTTTCCTGCCGCCGCTGCAGCTGGGCCCCGTTTGGAGCACACTCGGATCTCTCCAGTGGGCTGGGGGAGGAGGAGGAAGAGGAGGAGGAGGAGGAGGAGGAGGAGAAGGAGGAGGCGCGGGCAAGAAGCGAGAGAAGGAGCCGTAACATGACGGCAGGAGGACGCCCCGCGCGAGGTTTTCCTGAAGGAGACCGAGTGCATTTACGAGGGGGTGTACCGGTTCCACGTCAGGCTCTCCTCGGCTTCATTTCTTGGGCGGAGGTTTATTCTCCGAGCGCTTCCTCCTCAGCATCACCCTCTGACTCCATTGCGCTCGTCCTCATCATCCTCCTCACCATACTCCTCTTCTCAACTGTCTAAACATACCAAAAAAACAAACAAAAAAATGAAAACACCACTGATCGCTTGCACGCAGCCAGGATGGGAAGCCGCTCGAGCGCTGAAAGTCGCGCGCCCGGCGCAGCGAACTCACCCTGTGCCAGGTGAAGCTCCCAGGGACGCCCTGGGAGGAACCGCCAGGCCCTCACGGGGCAGTGGCGAGGTGTAGCGGGCATCGGGCAGCGGCGGGGAGCAGCGGGGAGCAGCGGCCAGCGGCGCCAAACGGGCGCAGGCGGGAAGGGCCCCGCCAGCGGCGGCGGGCAGCGGGCGGCGGGCAGCGGGCGGCGGGCAGCGGCGGGGGCAGCCAGCGGCGGCGCCAAACGAGCGCAGCCAGGGCGGGAGGGCGGCGGGCAGTGCCGGCGGGTGCCGATCCTCGCCACCGAGGCATCGCCGAGGGGCGAGGCCGCAGCCCAAACCGAGGACCGAGGGCCCACAGGGTCGGCGGCGCATTTGCGTGTGCGAGGGCGCGCGGGTGACCCTCACGGTGAGCCCATTGCTGAACCAGTCGACGCACGGGCGGTGCGGACGCGCCGATGCAGCGCCGGCGAGCGTCATTGGTGCGGGATGCGGTCGCCCGCCTTGGGCGAGGAGTGTGGGACTGACCGGCTGGCCACAGAGCCAACGGCGGAGTGAGTAGGAGTGGGAGGCAGTATCCCAGTACGTAGCGCGAGTCAGCGTTTAGGATGGGGACGCGGGTGCTGTGGCTGGGACAAGTCCCTAAATGGACCACGTTTCTGAGAGCTGGGCTCCTCGGCCGGGCCCCCCCCCGCACCCGCGTTCGTTAAGTGGGCGGGGACGCTGACGAGGAAGCCGCTGAGCTTGTCAGCAGTGTAGAGCTCGAGGTCGAGCTCGGATTCTTCACCCTCGCCGATGTCTGGACCGTCAACGACAGCCCAGTCACCCCAGAGTCGGGTCGCCTGCGGAGCTGAGGGGGCGCCCTCGGCGAGCAAGGCCAGGGGCCAGGACACGACTGGCGAGGCTCGTCCGAAAGAACACTACCGAGGCGGACGCCGCCGGAGCGCCAGCGGGCCCCGCGAATGCCAGCTGGTTAGGCGGAGGAGCCCCCTTTGGGCGCCGCGGTGGGTTCGTCCGTCCACTGCCACGCCCGGGCCTTGGGGGCTGGAGGGGGTTTGGCGCCGAGGGCGCCACCCGCGCTGGGGTATCTGCGGCGCTGGTGTGCGGGCGACGGCGAGGGACGTGGCGCGCCCAGGGCCGCATTGGGCAGGGGGGCGGCGGCTTCGCGCGGGCGACCCCGAGCGTACAGGGGCAGGTCGAGGTCGGCGGAGACCTTGGGAAGCGACGGCCTCCCCGAGCCGGGGAGGCAGGGCGCCGGCCTTGGCGCCCCTCGGCAGAGGAGTGGGCGGCAGCCTGGGCGGGGGCCCCCTTGCCTCTGGCTCCTGGCAGCGGCCGCTCACGGGACTGGGGGCGCCTCGGGGCCCGAGGTGGGCGCGGGGCGGCAGGGGCGGGGCGGGCCCGAGCCGGGTTTGGGCCCGACGTGCTGGCGCATGGTGCAGACTTCCTCTGGGGAGGCGCCGGCGGAAGCCGCCCTGGCGGGGGCTGGCGCGGCGCCCCAGGAAGGGGCAGCACCGATGGGGGTCGGGCAGCGGCGGGACAGCGGAGGCTGTGGCGGAGCCTTGGGTGCGGGAGACGGGTCAGCCCAGAGGACCACACGACGCGCTGGGGCGAACGAGCCTCCTTCGGGCTCTGCCGCGGCCAGGGCGGGGGACGCATATGCCGAGCCGGGAGGGGCGGCACCCCACAAGGCGTTCTGGCGGCCTTCCCGAGGTTGCGTTTTGAGAAGTTGTTTGGCGAGTTCGCGCTGCTGCGAGAGCGATAGAGTCCGCCAGTTGTCCAGCACGTGCGCGTCCCAGCCGTCCACGACCGCGCCCGCAAACTCGGCGTGGTTGAGCTCGGGATCGAGATGAGGGGCGGGGGAGCCTGGCGGGAACGCTGCGGTGAGGAATTCGCGCCAGATGCCGGGTTGCCCGGCGATGCTCCGGACGCGCTGGAGGCGCGCCAGGAGATCCTCCAGCGGGAAGGCAGTGGCGGGGTCTTAGCCGCAGGGCAGCCGGACGGCGGAACCGTCTTGGCAGGATTAGCGATCTCATTGGTTTTGCACCCGTTCGCGCGCTCGAGGAACTGGGTGAGAAATTATTGGGGGCAATGCGAGAGGTCGTCCTGCTTCATGTTTTGTCGCTGGAGAAAGTCCTGACACATAGCGGTCTGCAGGTGCCCCCGTTGAATGTAGCGTTTAGCAACGAGGGCCTTGTCGTGCTGGGAAAGGTCGGGAATGGGAAGGCTGGCGAGGTGGCAGAAAGTGCTGGAGAGGCCAGCTGCAGCGTTCGAGGAGGGGGCCTACGACCGCGGGCACCAAGTGCGTGAGCTGAGGTCCCCTTCAGGGGCGTCCAGGCTGCTGGAGCGCGGCCGCGGTTCGGCGGCCGCTGCCGCCTCGCCAGCTCCGTGGTGGGGACCGAGACCGCCAGTCGCAGATCCACCCAGGCATCCTCACCGGAGGGGGAATCTATTTCGGTGGGATCGTCTCTGAGAGCGCGCGCAGGAGGGTGCAGCTGAGCGCCGTCTGCCAGGAGTGTCTCCAAGAAACCAAGGAGGACGGCCCTGTCGCAGCGGGGAACGTCACTGATCCCGCAGCTCAGGTCCGAGTGACGCAGAGCCGCGAGGGCGAGTCAGCGCCTGCGCAGAGTGCGCCTCCGGTTCTCGAAAGCCCTGTCCCCGCCGAAGAAGAGCCGACCCTGCGCGAGGAGCTGCAGCGGCAGGTCCTCAAGTGCGCGCAGCTCGTCCACGGCGGGAGGAGGGACAAGAGGGTTAAACGGCAGGAGCCTCGAGTTCGGGTGCCTCGGCGCCTTCGGCAGGGCGGAAGCAGTGGGGATTATGGTATCCGCCGCCCGAGGAACCGGAGTCGTCACCAGACTTGCCGGGGGGGCCCCCGCCGCCGCTGGCGCCCGGGTTGGATCCACGGGCGCCGGCAGGTGGCGCGTTCGCCGTCGCGGGCGTTGGAGTCGCCGCCAGGCTTGTCGCTCGGCCTGTCGAGGTAGCGCGGGTCCAAGAAATCCGCGCGGAGCGCCAATATGTTTATGTTTAGGCCGTTTTGTCTTCTAATCTCCCAGGGGGCTGTCGCTGTTGGCGCCCGAGTTGGACCCACGGCCGCCAGCAGGTGTTGCCTCCCCCGGGTCGCGCGGATCTGCGGAGGCTGATAGGCGCTGGTGGCGGAAGCAGGTGGAGGCGCCTTGCCCCGTGGCGGAGGGCTCTTGTGGAGGGAGGCCCTCCTGACTGGGGACGCGCTCGGCGAGGGGAACTCGGCGTCCGTCCAAGCTTCGGACATCCCAGAGGCGTCGAGCTGGGCGAAAGCAAGCTCGCCCCCCCGCTTCGCAAGGAAACGGGAGAGGTGCTCGGCCCCACGCACTGGTCGTCGACCAGATCGCCCCGCTTGGCCAATGGCGTCTAGTGTAAGCCTCCCATCCAGCGTCCCCGTAGGTGGCGATGACAGCGGTCGTGATGCCCTCGAGGCGGCATGTTGGCAGGGGCTGGAGGGCGGCCAGTAGCCGAAGGCACTTGTCCTTGTGATCCACGGGAACCGCCTCGGCGGACGGCTCCAGCCTAGCCTCATCCTTGGCGGCGGACGGGCCAGGGCGAGCGGAGGCGGCAGCTGGGGGCGGTCCTCCTGCGGCCGAGGCTGCCCGGCCGGGGGGATCGTGGCGAGGCCAGCGTCCTCCCAGCTGAAGCAGACCTGGCAGCAGTCGACGGAGCCGCCGGGAGGGATATGGGCCAATAGGTAGGAAGCACAAAAGCGAGGTGCTCTGTGGTGGCTTGGAGGGCCCGCACCTCTGGGTTGATCCGCTCAAGGGGGTCGGTGAGCAGCCCCTCGCCAGGGGCGTAGCAGACCAGCCGGACCATACGGCTCGATGGCAGTACGGATGTCCACGAGGTCGGTGGAGACGTGAAAGTCCGGGAAAACGGCGCTGCGCAGCGTATACCCATGGGAGTGCCAGGGAGCGGCAAGCCTGGTCACCCAGTTCCCTCAAGGCGGCGGTGCCCAGCAGTTGGCGAGCAAGGTGGCGGTCGGAGGGAGATGCGAGCAACAGCTTGTGAGCGCCAGTGCGCCCAAGTGGGTTTCTTCCTCCTCCACGTCCCCCTCCTCTTTGCTTGCTAGGGTCTTCGGGTCGACTTAGCGATGTGGGGATGAGTAATCTGAAGGGGTGCCAGGGCGTCCTCCGACAGCACGAGGGTATATTCGAGACAGCTTGGACTGGTCTGGGGCCAGCCATCATGAGGCTGTCTTGATGGGGTCGCGGATTGTATCCAGGCCATCCTGGGACGGTATTGGGTTGTCTTCGGGACAGTTTCGGCCGATCTAGGGCCGCCTTGATGGGGTCGCGGCTTGTATCCAGGCCATCCTGGGGGAGGGAGGGGCAGACAGCGTCTGCGTCCGCTCGGAAGCCGCTCTAGAGCGCTCTGGAGCCAGACCGACGCCCCCTGGAGCCGTCGTGAGCCCATACTGGTCGACAGGGCCTAAACACAAAGTTGAATGAATATGTGTCCGTATCTCCGCATCCCAGATGGAGCTTCTGGGCTTGGGCATAGCGGTTGGGCTGATAGCTGAAGTAGTATTGGCGGGCAGGAGCAAGAGGCATGAGGAGGATGAAGGGGGCGGGGAGACGGAGTTAGGGGTCGTCCTCATCGATATTGTCCAAGCCGTCAGTGCCGAAGGGCAGATCAACGACATCGCAACAGAACGGACGCGAGACGGGAGGCGAAGGGAGGTGAGGCGAGTGGCCGTTCCAGTCTCGTTGCTGTGTATGGTAAACGAAGGTGGGAAATGTCTGATCATTGAGATGTGCAGCATCCGTGGTATTTTGATATGTTGCATTGTTTTCTCCCAGGCGTCTTGACAAGTCTGTGGTGCCCTTCGACTTCCGTGATGCTTACGACGATGCTTACCACCATTATAAGGACATGCGTTGCACCAGCCCATGTGAGCACTACGTGCGCAGACTGGGAAGAGCAGAAAGTGATGTACGTGGTTGATTGTGATGTTCTCCACCCCTCACCGACTGCCAGATTCACCTGGCTACAGGAGGCCCATGAGGAAGCCCCAGGAGGTCCCCAGGAGGCCCAACTGGTTTTCGTGTAAACACCTCATGTGGAAACATCATGTTCTCATGTTCTAACATGCCATGCCAGCCCGCACTGGACGGGCACGCAATCGACCTTGGAAACCACAGTGGGTTTAAAAACCATGTTTGGGGATACTGCACTCCGGCTATACTTTTGATTTTGGTGTTTGTTTGGAAGGACCGAAAACCATCCCGTGGCATGCCATTGGAAATAATACGCCAGCGCTGCAGCGGGAGCACGATTCAGAACGAGCGGAGGCGCGGAAATGAGGCCAGCGCTGCAGCGGGAGCGCGATTCGGAACGAGCCGTAGCCCGAAAATGAGGCCAGCGTTTCAGCGAGAGCAGCATTTTGACAAAAAACCAAGCGCGGAAGCGCGGAAATGAGGACGCGTAGCTTGACACAGCATGGCGTGGCGACGCCCCAAAGTGGGGGGGGGCTTATGCGGCCCAAAAAATTAACGAACCGGCACCGAATGTGTAATCCGATGGTGTTTTTCGGGGGACATGTTCTAAATTTTGGGCCGACTGGAAGGACAGAAATCCATGCCATGGCATGGCGCTGGAAATAATGACGCCAGCGCTGCAGCGGGAGCACGTTTCGAAACGAGCGGAAGCGCGGAAATTAGGCCAGCGCAGCAGCGGGAGCGCGATTCGGAACGAGCGGTAGCCCGAAAATGAGGCCAGCGTTTCAGCGAGAGCAGCATTTTGACAAAACCAAATATGATCGACCCACGAACCCGGAAAGGAATATAGAAATGTAAGGCATGGCAACGTTTCAAAAACACTTGATTGGGCGACGGGCCAATGCAATGCTGAATGTATCGATCTTGATGTATTGTGCCGATGGTTGTGCTGTGCTACGCCGTGCTGAACTGCGATGTGCCATGCCGCGATTGTGCTCTGTATAGCGTTGTGGATCGAGTCCTCCCTGTCATCCGAATCCTGACCGAACTGATTTGGATCTTAAGCTCGAGCTGCCTGAGCAGATGGTAGCTGCCCCAAAACTAATCGACAGGGGGACATGCCAGGAGGACGCGCCGCGGAACGTCCCAAGGGACGCGCCAGGCGCCGTGCCAGGGGACGTGCCATGGGCACTCACCGCGGGACGTGCCAAGGGGACGCGCTACGGAACGTGCCGCCAATGGAAGTGCCGCGAGACGTGCCAGGGGACGCGCCGCGCGACGTGCCAGGTGGACTCGCCACGGAACGCGCCAAGGAACGTGCCAAGGTGCAATGTTGAGTGCATCGATCTTGATGTACCGTGCCGACGGCTGTGCTGTGCTGGGCCGTGCTGAACTGCGATGTGCCATGCCGCGAGTGTGCTCTATATAGCGTTGTGGGTCGAGTCCTCCCTGGCATCCGAGTCCTATCCGAACTGATCTGGATCTTAAGCTCGAGCTGCCTGAGCAGATGGTAAATGCCCCAGAACTAATCGACAGGGGGACACGCCAGGAGGACGCGCGGCGTCCTAAGGGACGCGCCAAGCGGCGTGCCAGGGGACGTGCCATGGGCACGCACCGCGGGACGTGCCAAGGGGACGCGCTACGGAACGTGCCAATGGACGTGCACCGCGCGACGTGCCATGGGGACTCGCCACGGGACTCTCCGTGGAACGTGCCAAGCAACATGCCAGGCTGCAATGCTAAGGGTATCGATCTTGATGTACCGTGCCGAGGGCTGTGCTGTGCCTGGGCGACCTGGACACGTGAAAACAAGCGTATCTCTCGAGACATTCTCAACACATCCTCATGCTAGGCATCCGCCTGGGCAACCTGGACACGTGCAAACAAGCGTCTCGATCGAGACTTCCTCGACACATCCTCATGCTAGACATCCGCCTGGGCGACCTGGACACGTGAAAACAAGCCTCTGGTTCGAGACATCCTCAACAAATCCTCATGCTAGACATCTGTCTGGGCCACCTGGAGGCGTGAAACCAAGCGTCTCGCTCGAGACATCCTCAAGACCTGGGCACGTGAAAACAAGCAATCCACTTGAGAGATCCTCAGAATTCAGGTCCCCAGGAGAGGACAATCTATAACACAAAACAAGCGGTTCGCTCGAGACATCCTCAACAAATTCTGAAAAACGAGCGTTTCGCTCGAGACATCCTCAATTTTTAATTCGCCGGCCCTTCGCGACCTCGTTATTTATCGCAAAAGAAATTCGCCGGCCCATCTCCGGGGGTACACCTTTAAAAGAGAACATTGGGCCCGAGCCCTTTCCGGGAAAAAAGCTAGCAAAAACCCTTTTCCTTGGAATTTTGTGTGTAAGAAACCAGTACGCGGAAGGGGGCCAGCCATTCCCCGAACGCCACCAAGGGAGAGAGGAGAGTAGTATTTAGATTCTTTACTTGTAGAGGAGATGGGAGAGAGATGGGAAGGGGAGGAGGGAAGTGAACGAGCAACACCCTTGCCAAGTTGCGATGCGCATCTTGCAGCCTCAAGTGTACCTTGCCCTGCCCGATGGCGCAGCGGCGAGGACCAATCCCAGCTGTATCACGTCGAGACCGCCCTCAGGGCTGCAATACTGCCGCACCTCATCCAGTACAAGGAGCCATGGCCCTCGCTCCCTCTCCCCGTCCCCCCGCCCCACACGGCGCAGCTTTGCCGCGGTTCCCCATTTGTGCCCGACGATCGGGCTCCTCGCTCAGGGTATCAGACGGCGCCTGCGACAGGGAGAATTCTTCGGCCACGCGCAGAGGGGGAATTGGGGGAGGGGGGAAGGCTTCTAAGAAACAGCCTCCTTCTAAGAAGCCCTTCCCCCTCACCCTACCCCCATTGTGCGCGCCGCCAAGTTTTTGAGAAAGAAAACGTTGCCGAGCAAAGGTATCGAGAGCGATCCATGCATCAATGCGGCCGTCACTGCTGGCTCGAAGTGCGGGCGCGGGCGCTGCATACCCTCTCGGGGCCGTGAGGCCAAAGGTACGGTCTTGCCTGCCCGTGGTTGCCCTGAACACGTGTGCAGCAAGATGCGCCATGTGCGAGCGCAGCGGCAACGGCTGCAGTCGACGTTTGGCAGAAGATACCGGGAGCCTCTGCTATTGAGCCTTGGCGTGTCTGGTGTGTCGCAACTCGTGCTGACTGGGGATCTCGAGATGCTCCTGGACAGCGCCCAGACAGAAGGTGCTTCACGGGGGACGCCTCCTCACTGTCTGCCTGTTCAATAGTGGTATCTCGTGTTCCGCCATCAGTTTTGCGGTTCGGTCTGGCTAGAAGGTCTTTGTTCGCAGCGCGCCCCCAAGAGTTTGACGGGTGACGAGTGGTGCAGTGTGAGAGTGGACGCTTTTAGTTGAGGCAGGCAAGAGCCGTGTTGGAGGAGGAAAATGGGAGGATGGGGGGAGGAAGAGAAGCCGGGGGCCCAAAGGGCCTCTTTGCAGGCTTTCTGCGCTGCTTCGTCACCAGATCGGATCACTCATGGATCTTATCCGCATGTTTTGCGTGTTTAGCCTGATGCTGGCGTGGCCGTCCGAATTGCTCCCAGAGGAGGCGCGATTACCCAAGCGACAGATAAACATGTTGTGCCGCGTCGTCATGTTGCTCATCGCTTGACTAACGAAGCTTCTAGGCGACATGTTGTCCGAAAGGAGAACATGCCAACGTGGTGCGATGCAGTCCCATTGTGGTGCCTATCCCCCGCGTTTTCTCCAGCCCAGTGTCCTACGCACCTCTGGGTGTATGACCTCCTGCTTGCTTGCATGGTCATGCAAGTAGGTCGTTTTTCATATGTATGACTCGGACTAGGGCTGCGGTGGATGCGCGAGGATTCCGATTTGGAGAGGGTGGCGTGTGAGCAGATTGAGGAGGAAGGCGAGGTGGCAGAGGGACAGACAGAGGAGGAGATGGAGGAGGAGGAGGAGGAGGAGGAGGAGGAGGACGACGACGACGACGACGGGGGAGTAGCAATTAAAGAGAAGAGGGGGTCGAGAAGGTGGACGGGGGTCGGGGACCACAAGCGGGGGGGGGGGGGCAGGGGGAGGGGCGGAGAGGGGAAGATGCAGAGGTGGAGGCGGAGAGTCAGGGAGCGGGGGGCAAGGCGGATGGGGGAGGTCAAAGGGGGGCATGCCTGAAGACAGCCATGGAGTGTGAAGGATTCGCTGGCGCCCGGGGATTGGCCGTCTAGCCGCACCGCAGGAGATGATGCTCAAGGATGGTACCACGGAGCTCGTCAGCGCGCTGTCGGGAGCGCCCCACCTATCCTCCCTGCCGGGCACACGTGGCGCGCTCCAGAAAGGGCCTCGCCTTCGAGCATCGAAGGAGTTGGCATCTCTGCCTCGGTGTAAGGTGGCGGGAATAAAGTTAGGGCGGCTCCGCCAGCAGAAGTTCGGCGGAAGCCGGCGGAAGAAAAAAATGCGCCCCTTATCAGAGATAGCAGCATGTTTGGCAACCCGCCATGTCCCGCCTGATCGAGTCGGGGCTCGCGATGCCAGAGTTCCCCCCCCGCTTAAGCACGCCCGCCGCCGTCTTCTTCGAGCGATTCTGCACGGAGCTCGCCCCTCGGTGGCGCCTGCACGGCCCCGAGCCGCCGACTCGAGGTGCCCTGCCGGGGTCCGAGAGCCGGTGATTTTCCGAACGCGTGCTAGTCTCACCACCGACTAGCACGCAGCGCGTGTCGGCCCTCGTCACGTCGCCTGCGTGGCACCAGCGGGCTTCCATTCACGAGCACACGTTGGCGCTTGGCGCTAACACGCGTTCTGAGGATCACCGGGGGGTCCTGCCTGGGACCCCCGCGGCGGTGGCTCCTGGATTGCGGGGCTAAGGGGGGGGGCTCGGGCATGTACCCTGGGTCTCTGGCAGGGGCGGAGAGGGGGGAGAGGGGGGGTGGGGGCCGGAGTCCAGACGCCCAGGTGGGGCCAGAGTGGAAGGGCTTCGGAGGATCGCGCTGCACCGCCGATGCAGTGGCGATGTGGAGCGATCCAGGGCCCGGTCGTTTCTCCATCCCGCCATCGCCGATACATCAGCGGTGCGGCGCGATCTTCCGAGCCCCGTTGTTCCAGCCCCACCTGGACGGCCTCCAAGGAGGTGGAGGGGCTGGAGGAGGAAAGAGAGGAGGAAGAGGAGGAAGAGGAGGAAGAGGAGGAGGAGGAGGAGGAGAACGAGGACGAGGACGAGGACGAGGACGAGGACCAGGACGAGGAGGAGGAGGAAGAGTAGGAGGAGGAGGAGGAGGAGGAGGAGGAGGAGGAGGAGGAAGAGGAAGAGGAAGAGGAGGAGGAGGAAGGACGCGGACGAGGAGAAGGAGGAGAAGGAGGAAGAGGAGGGGGAGGAGGACGAGGACGAGGAGGAGGACGAGGACGAGGACGAGGAGGAGAGGAGGAGGAGGAGGAGGAGGAGGAGGAGGAGGGGGAGGAGGAGGGGGAGGAGGAGGCGGAGGAGGAGGAGGAGGCGGAGGAGGAGGAGGAGGCGGAGGAGGAGGAGGAGGAGCACGAGGAGGGGGGGAGGGGGAGGAGGAAGGAGGAGGAGGAGGAGGAGGAGAACCAGCAAGAAGGGGCTGGCGGGAAGTGAGGGCGACGGTGAGCAGAAGGGGTAAGAGCAGGGAGAGCGTGTGTGGATGATGGGAGGAGGAAGCACAGAAACGCGAGGACGTAGTCGGTTTGTAATCGGCATGGCCGTCATCGCGGTCGACGATGCCGTCAGATCACGTGGTCGGATTGCGGTTTAAGTGATTGGCCGAACATTTGCGGCGCGTCCCAGGCGGTCGGGATCAACTCGTCACGCGCCATATTCACATGATGTTGCTGACATCGCACGGGGTTCTCACCTTGGAATGCTCTGTGTTGCATTCGGACGCCATCACTGTCATCGCGAAGGGCTCTCCTGAGGATCACTCCTGAGTGCTGGAATATGTTCCCATAGTGCTCGCCAGTATCTAATGACCGTCGGCCCATCCCGCCACCGTGCAAGGGGCATGGGTCAGAGTTCTCAGGGATGCTTCTTGGGGGCCTCTTGGAGGCGTTTTGGGCTGTCTTGGCGTCCTCTTGGGCTGTTTTGGGGCCCTCTTGGAGGCCTCTTGGGGCGATATTGGGGGCCTCTAGCGCCGTCTTGGAGTGACGGCAAGTAGAAAAGGCGAGAACGCACAAATCTTTGACAAAACAACGGGGAATCACTGAATTTGGCATCTTGGGGCCCTCTCTGGAGTGCTCTTGGAGGCTTCTGGGGGCGTCATGGAGGCATCCTGGGCAGTATGGAGAGCGCACTCTTGCTTTCTGAGGCCCCAGGACCCCCAGGGGGGGATGCGTATCTAACACCCCCTACCCCGCCCCCAGGACCCCACCCGGGACCCCCCGGCGAACTTCCCTCCGCCCGCCCGTAGCGGGTGAGGGATCAAAGGAAAGGGGCTTCCCTTCGACTCGATTACCACATTGCTACGTTCTTCTCTCGCTGACAAGCTTGAGAAGGGGAAAGGGAGCGACGGAGACGACGACTGACGGAGACGACGACTCGAACAGACAAGCCCCTTACGCACGCCGACAGGGTCGGCGGATGACGCAATTCGGGGTCCAGGCTCCTAAGAGACCCCCCAGGAGTAAGGATTGAGGCTTAGAGGGTTAGGCAAATGCCTGAGGACACGCCTACTCCGTGCCCTGAGGCACGATGGCGGATCTCGGGTTCGGGCGTCAGAGGCGAATGGGCTCAGGAAAATTGCACGTACGTAGCAGGCACGCTCTCGTATGGTGGTTCACTCATGCTTGCACCCGGTGCGTGCACCAGCTTACGCGCGTTCATATACACAGCTTACGCATACGTGGTCGCTTTCGTGTCATTCCAGATCGACGTCAATGTACAGGCTCTGTCGAGGATTGGCGCAATAATGTACATCAGACGCGCCGCACATGGGGTACTCTTCGCCCCCAGGTCAAGTTGGTTCGGCCCTTCTTCCTTAACATATATGTTGCGATGATCTAGGCACCGTGAACATGTGCGTATCGATGTATATGTGTTGACGCATGCACACGCACGCACGCATAAGTGAATATGTGCACACGCGTACGCGTCCAAGTCCTGCACTAGCGTACACAGATGTGCTTAATCATGCACACGCAAGCTCGCAGGCACAGATGTACGCGCACGTGCGCACGGACAAGTCGTCCTCAGAGGCCACTTTCGGGCGGAGGTCCCTGTGGGCAGGAGAGAGCCCAGATCCCCCCCCGAGCCCTGGAGCCACAGCCCGCCGCTCTGGCCGGGAGTGTTGGCCCGAGAGGCGGCGTGTTGACCTGGGAGCAGGCGGCGGTCCAGCATTTCCCTGTGCCGCTCGAGAGCGTCGTCGTCGCCTTCCTCAACGAGAACCAGCTCAAGGCAGCTCGGCCCGTATATAGCCGCGGTCGGGGTACGGGCGAGGAGTGGGGCGGGAGATGGGGCAAGGGAGCGGAGAGGAGCGTGGACTGTGAGGGGCCGGGAGGAGGAGGGGAAGCCCGAGGGCAGGGGCGAGAGGGAGGGGGCGGCGCACGGGGGAGGGGGCGCGGAGCGGAGGGGAGGGGGCGGGCGCGGAGTGGGTTGCTGAAGCGGAGGCGATTGTCGCGTGCACTCGCTGCGATTGCCAGTTCAGTTATCGCCAACAATTGGTCGGGAAGGGACAACTGGTCAGGTCAGCGCTCCTTCCCCTCGTTCTCCCCCCTCCTCCCTCGAGAGGGGCGAGGAAGGAAGGGGGGAGAGGAGGGGCAGGAGCACTGACCTCACCAGTTTTCGATTCCCAAATTGGCCCAACATGTTTTTAATGCGCATGGGGTTGGGCAGTCAACACGGGAGTAAATTGAGACGGGCTCTGGTGCCTTCTGTTTGCAATGTCTCCATTCCAGAATGCGTGTGGTCAAGCATATATAAGAGGAAATCCAGGCGTTGCCGATTTGCTCGGGTGGAAAATGTCCAGCGGATGCTCCGTATGCGGCCGCTGGGCTTGACCAGCAGGATACCGACCGTGCGCGTAAATTGGCCAGGTAAGGACGCAGGCGACAGCATGTTGGCACGGGCGTTGAGCGGCTGAGACGGCCGCTGATCAGGGAAATTCACGAGGCTGGCATCAGCCACAGTTCCCACCTCTCCTGTCCTTTCCTCCCAGCCCCACAGGTGGCAGAATAAGGGTCCATGCAACTCGTGAGTCCGAACGAGCAGGCACCTCTCTGGCAGGCTTTGCCGAGCCGTCGTGGATACAGGTGGCAGATGTTCGCGTGCATGCGTCGCCCAGCCGAATTGGCTGACTTCTCCTCGATGCATCTCTGGCTTGAGATGCTCACCCGACGCAGTGCAAACGACAACGAGCACCAGGAGGAAGAGCATGAGGAGGACTGTGAAGTTTGGCTGCGGCCGTGCCGAGATCGATGGGGGGCACATGTCGCGCGCCTGCCGACAGACGCGCCCGTGTCCGCAAGCATCCCCCATTCCACTTACATTGTGACATCGCAGATCGCAATCGTGAGATGTGTTTCGTGTGGGCTTGCAGGGGGCGTGATGGAGGAGCGGAGGAAGGGGAGGAGAAGGAAGAGGAGGAGGGAAAGGAGCAGGAAGGGGCGCGGGACGGAAGACGAAGATGCACGGGAGAAGGTTGATTCCCACCATCGTTCTTCTTTCTCCTCCTCTTCGTCCTCCTCCTCCTCCTCCTCCTCTTCCTCCTCCTCCGCCTCCTCCTCCGCCTCCACTTCGTCTGCCTCCCTCCATCCCTCCCTGTTCCTCGCTTCCTCCCTTCCTCCCCCCCACGTCTTCGCTCCCCCGCCATCCTGGGAAGTGTGGCGTCCCCTCTCCCCCCCCCCCCTCCGGCCTCCCCTTCTCACCCCCCCCTCCCTCAGATGGACAAGATCATGCTCCTGCCAGACGAGGACCGCTAGCCCCCACAGGGACGCGTGGGGGAGCATGCCCATCGGAGGAAGGGACGAGGATGGGGAAGGAGATAGCGAGCGGACAGGAAGCGAGGAATTACGCTACCGAGGAACCCCACATACTTATTTGTTGCTATGCGTGTTCACATACAATATCGTGCTTCGCCGTCCTCCACACACCCTCGCGCTAGCTGCACCCCCAACCATCATCAGCCATATACGCAATACACGCCAGACGAACCAAACTGACCAGCCAGACTGACCTGACAAGCAACATCAGCCAGACCAGCCAGATCAGCAATCTCAGCAATCCCAGCCAAACCCAGCCAGGCCAATCAACCAAATAAGTGAGAACAAGCATATTAGTCACACCAACAATCGCAGCCAGAATAAGCCAGACGAACCACACGAACCAGCCAGGCCAACCAACCACGCCATCCAGACCAACCAGCTCAGACCAACCATACCATATCAAACCAAACCAGACCTGACCAGACCTGACCACACCGACCACACCAACCAACCGCTGCACGGCCAGCACCATAACGGCCTCTCCAACAACGGCCCTCGGTGACCACGCCGTGTCCTTCCAGACTGGGAAACATCCGTCGGGGCTGATGCATGCGTCTTCCGCTATGAATCTGGTGGAGTTCGAGGAGGGAATGGGAGAGAGAAGACAAGGAGGGGGAAGAGGAGAGAGAAGGAGGGAGAACCATTTTGACATTTTGCAACATGTGGTTGTCGCCTTGGCGCTGCGCAAATTCGTTTTCAAGTTTGCAGCAGTTTCAAGGATGCAGGGCCGGTGGTTTTGAAAATGTGGTTCTCGCTTGAGGTTCGTGCGCATTCGTTTCACATGTTTGCAGCAGCTTCAAGGATGAAGGATGGTTCCTTGTCAAATTGTGGTTTTCGTTAGCGCCGCGCGCATTCGCTTTTTTAAGTTTGCAACAGCTTCAAGGATCGAGGGTGGTCCCTTTCCAAAATGAAACTCTCGCTTTAGCGTCGTGCATATTCGTCTTCAGAGTTTGCAGCCGTTCCACGGGAATGGTGTCTTGGCACGATTTGGTATTCCCAGGACGCAACAGTCACATCACTCGCGGTGCTGAAGTCCCAGAAAGGTCATCTGGCACGGTTGAGGGTTGTCAGGACGCGACAGTCACGTTGATTCGCAGCGTTGTAGTCCCTGCAATTGCGTTTTGGATGGATTGAGGGTTCTCAGACGTTTGTTTTCCAATGGGCACTTCCCGCAGTGAAAACAACTTATTGCAGGGCCTCTGAAGAGGGACCGTGGAGGGATGGTTTACTGCAACATCGCTGATGCGTCTGGGGTTTACATTGGTCTTCCTCTTTATCGTCCTCCTCCTCCTGCTCCCCTACTCCTGCTCCTCCTCCTCCTTCTCTCCTTCCCTCCTCCTTCCTTCCTCCTTTTCCTTCCCCACTGACGAGAGCAGGGGCGACGGCGGCGACGACGACGACGACGAGCGGCTGGGACTCCACTCCCGAGGAGCACGGCTTCAGAGTCAAGGACAAGGGCATCCAAGACAAGTGGATCGCGTACCACAGGTGCCCTCATCCCACATCACCTTCATCATCGTTATCTACCCTTCCTCCTCATCATCTCCTGATCATCATCACAACCATCACCTCCATATTCATACGCCTGCTTGGGAACAGGAGTCTAGGGCACACCCACCGGGGCGCGGATCGTTTACTGCATTGGTATTATCATATTGCCAAGTTCGGGTGGGTCTGGTTGTCGGCGGTGTTGCCTTGGCTGGCTGTCTCTTGCGGTGGAGTCCGCTCCTGCTCGGGACCAGGCGTCTGGGGCACACCCAGCGGGGTCAGGCCAGCGGCTGCTCGGTCAGGCAGTTGTTGCGAGGATGCGGTGCGTTGCTTTGTGTCCGTAGATGTGATACACGGGACAGTGGCGAGCGAGTGCTTGGATGGTGCCTTGATGCTACGTCTTCGGCGACCGCAAGCTCGTCGTCATCGCCCCCTGAACTTCCCGGGCCCCGTCTCCTGCTTCGCCGAGGCACCGCCCAGTTGCCGCCCCGCCGCCGTGTGTTCTGCAACCTAGCCTCCCCCCCCTCCGCTGCGTCTTGCTGCTCTTCGTTTGCTGTGCTGTCCCTCTCCTGCGCTGTTCGTCTTCCTCTTGCGTCGCTTCCTCGTCCTCTCCGTGTCTGTGCGTGCTTGCCCGCTGGGGTGTGGGCCTCATTTGGGGGTGCTCGGGTGCTCCAGGGGCCTCCGTAGGCGTTGGCACTGTCCCCGACTCTCCTGGACGTCAGGGCTGCACGGTGCGCTTCACCCCGACCTCAGGCTCTGTATGTTCTCGGGGAGCTCGATTTTCTGACGTGTTGAGCTGCATGTGTGGTACATAAGCGGCAGCAGGCATGAGAGACATCAGACATGCAGCTCAAGGCCGAGTATTGTTCGCATGCGTATTGTGATTGCTCTCCCCATTCCCCTCCCTCATCATCAACCTCGCTGCTCACCTCCCCACCTTGTAATCATCCCACCCCCCCTCTCCTCATCATCCTCATCCTCATCATCACCAGCAGCAGCATCATCAGAACCATCCATCAGCATACTCACAATCATCATCCGCGTCCTCATCCTCATTATCCCCTGCCTGTTTGTGGACCATGCTGGCAACCGTTAGGGCGCTCTTGGGGCACTCTTGGGGCACTCTTGGGTCCCCCATGGAGTCTTTGGAGGCATTAGCACTGCCGCCCATGAGTCCGAGTAAAAATGTTTCTCGGGCTGGAGGAGGGAGGACGGAGGAGGAGGCGGAGGAGATGGGTGGTGAGAGGTGGGTGGAGGAGGGAGGAGAGAGAGCGGAGGGATTGATTTGAGCTTCGTACAGCCTCAGCCTGACGATTGCTTGTAGGCCTGCAACGGCAGCTAGACATGTTGCACAGGAAAACGAGGCCAGCGAAACAGTTCCATGACCGAGCACATGTCCGCGACGACTTCGCGTCTGCGTGGGTTGATGTGTTGGCCGTCGCACAGGGTCCTCTTAGGCACGCTTCGCATGCACGATGGGGTGCCAAGGGCACTGCACTTGCCCAGGTCGTCGAGGCGAGCACCAGCGCTGTAGTGAGGGCACGTCCCGCTCACAAGCAAGAACGAGCCATTTTGTGATTCGTTTCGCGACAACTGCAGATCCACCCAGCCTGATGATGCCACGAGAGGTGCCGACTCTGGCCCCTTCTCATGCTTCTTACCGAGGAGAAAAAACTTGCGGATTCCCCCAGGTCCCCGACCATGACACCCACATGCCTTTGTTGCGTGAGGATGGGCACGTTATGAGGACGGGGGCACAATGAGCAGCAGTGAAGTCCAAGCCGGTGGGTTCCAGGAGGAGGTTTGCTGCAAGGTTGGTGACGGTGTGCCTGTCAATTGCTTGTAGACCGGCGCAGCCAACGTGATGTATTGTGATCGAAAGTTCAGCCAGAATATCCCGTTCACCATAGCGCCGCCTAAAAAACATCGTCTGCGTTTGCCACATGGAAGTGCGAAATGAGAAGTGACGGCAGGCAGGGCGGCGATGGGATTGTCGTGACCAGCCTCGCCATTTGAATTCCCCTCAGTTTACACGGGTACCCCGGCCGCCCTTGAGTTTTTACTCGCACTCCTTGTGGCTTCCCTTTCCCCTGCTACTGCGTGCAAAAGGTGCTTGCCGCAGCGCTGCTCTGCTGCGACCAATTTGCTGTCGAGCACGGCACTGACATCAGCTCGACGCCACCTCACCCTCCGGGTCCCGCTGCGGCAAACGCACTGCGCCAGGCAGGAGGCGAGGGCCGAACGAGCGCTGGTGCCGTCAATCAGAAGCGTCTGCATCCCCTTCCCGAGCCACCCGATGCCTGAGCTGCTGAGACCCCCCGTTGGCCGCGGAGAAGAGTCTCTGGACCTGAGCTTGCGTACGAAGCTCCTTGGCAACCCTGCACAGCTGATCCCGCTTTTGCCCGTCATGGCAGACTCGGGTGTGACCTCGGGAGGTGCGACGAAAGGCTCGACGGGGGCCCTCCCTCCCTGGGGCTCCAGCTCCCACGTGCTCCCCCCCGACCTCACCCTCCAGACGACGCTGACCCCCGGAGGCCACGGCCGTCTCGGTGGCTCTGGGGGGGGCCCTCCCGTCGAGGGAGCATGCCACGGTCGAGTCTGCTCGAAGCTTCGGCCCCCTTCCGGGGTCATGCGTGCACAGCGCCAGCGCAGGGCACAACGGTCCACCGCGGCACAGCCCCCCGCACAGGGAGCACACCTGCAGAAACCGTCCCCTCTATTGCGTTAGAGAGCGGGTGGGTGGGGTGGGCCTCGTGCTCCAGACCAGGCACAGAGAAAAACTCAAGGGCACAGCGAGTCTAGCATCCTGGGGGGCCCGCAAACCCTGAGGGCGCAAACCGAAAGGGCCTCGTGCTGGGAACAATGCACTCGCACCAACAGCATCTCCGCTTGCTGCCTTCCTGCTCCTGCTGATAGGGTGAGGAGGCGACTGCTTGCTGCTGCTTAAACAACTTCTTACACACAGGCACCCGCGCCGCCCGCTCTTCCATCGCCGACGAGGCTGGCACTGCGCGCGCGCCTGCGCATCATGTGCGCAATCGCATCAATCCGACCGGTGACAGAGCTCCCTCCACACCGGCCCGAACTCCCACGCCAGCTCCGCCCCCCCTCCCCGCCCACGTGTCAGCAGCAAGGCTCCCTGCTGCAAAGGGCCCCTGCCGCTCCGTAGCAAGCACATCGGGGCTCTTGTCTAGATGGGACGGAGTCCAGATGACCTCTATGTCCTTACCTGGGCGGCAGTTCCAGGCGGCTTTAGCTCTGAACCACAGGTCATCATTGGAACCGGTAACTTTAAGAGTGGCTTTCCAAAGAGTTCCCTCCGCCACCGCCCCGCAGTTTTACTCGAGATCGCGTGGAACTCCCCCACGATCTCCATGCGAATCCCTCACCGCGCTTCCTGCCTCGCCCCACCTCCCTCCTCCCCAGAGGAGGGGCGAGGAAAGCCAGGGAGGAAGGGGGGAGGGGAGGGGAGGAGAGGAGGGAGGGAAGAAGGGAGGAAGAATAGGGGAGGAGCGAGGAGAGAGGAGGTGGCAAGGAGAAGAGCGAGGCATGAGAGGGAGGAGCGAAGAGGGGGGTGCCCGGGCCTCTTCGGGACGGCCACGGTGGCGGACACGACCACGCCGGCGTGTGCCAGAGATTGAATTTGACGTGGGTTGACTACCCGGCATAATTGTGCCTCCTGACTGTTCTTCCTCCCCCTCTTGGGACAGTTGTTGCAGCGTGGAGTCCCCTTCCCATCAGTGGGGCAGCTGGCGCTCTTCATGCCGAGTGGCCTTGACGTGGCAGAGCCGGTGGCAAAAAACTGGCGTAGACCCCCCGCGCTCTCGACCCCTCGATGCTCCTCGATCCCCCCTCGATCCTCGATCCCCCCTCGAGCCTCGATCCCCCCTCGAGCCTCGATCCCCCCTCGATTCCCGATTCCCCCCTCGATCCTCGACCCCCCCCCTCCAATCCTCGACCCCCCCCCCGATCCTCGACCCCTTCCCCAGGATCGTGTTCCGACGGCCCCCAGGGGGCCAAGAGCGGGCCGCCAAAAGCGAAGATGGTTGGAAGACAGCCGGCAGTTGTGAGAGCGGGCGTTGGGGGTCCCGGGCCCCTGTCCGTGCAAGCCGACCCCCAGGCCTCTCGCGTGGGGCACGGCCTGACCAGCGCCCTCGAGGCGAACACCGCCGCGGCGGCGAGGGCGCATGCGAAGCTTCGGAAGGCAACCGGCAGTCGCGAGTGGGCGTAGGGGGTCCTGGGCCCCTGCCCCTCCCAGCCGACTCCCAGGCCTCTCGTGCGGGGCACGGCTCGGCACAATAGAACAATTGACGATCCCAAACTTGTGATGTATGTGATAGCTTGTTGTGCAGGCGCTCCGTGGTGAGCTTTCGCCGGCCTCGCCGGCACCTCGAGGCGACCGCGGGAGCAGCGGCGAGGGCGCACCCTGGGTATCGCGGGGGGGCCGTCGGCCCGTGCCTGGCGGTGCCTCCCTCCCCCCCACCTCGCGCGCGCGCGAGGAGCCACGGGCACTTCCGGATCATCTCCACGGATGAGGCGGAACGCGGGGCGCCCAGCGGCTTCTTCTTCTTCGTCGTCGTTATTTCTCCATCCCTCTTCCGTGATGTGAACACACCTCGTTGCGCCCCCGTGCGTGTCGCCGGAAGGGCCAGCCAGGCGTTTCGCCTGTGATGGAGTTCGAGGTTCCCAGCGCACAGACGGAAGTCAGTTCATTTTGAGAATATGGTTCTTGCTGTACCACCGCGCACATGAATGTTCAGCGCTTCCGGTAGTTACACGGATGCAGAGCGGACGGTGAACTATATATATATAGAGAGAGATACATCTACATATATATATAGATTCCGCCTTAGCTTTGCGCACATTCGTCATCAAAGCTCGCATCAATCACAAGGTCGGGCAACTGGTGCTTCACAATAAAAGAAGGCTCTCGCCTTTGAGAGCCTGCATCAACTACAAGGGTGGAGAACCGTTGATTTTCAGAAACAGGTTCTCGCCTTTGCGCCGCGCACACTCGTAAGCTTGCAATACTTGCGCTGATGGAAGGCGTTGCATTTTCAAACGTGATTCTCGCTGTATCGCCGCCCGTCTCCATTTCATAATTTTCAAAGAGCTGTGCGAAAGGAGGGCGGTTCCTTTCCCAAGTAGAGGTATAATAGACTGTTCTCTCATACCATACTTCTCGATGCGTGAAACATGCTGAATAGTGGCCCGGGTGGGGTGTGGATCCCTATCAAAATGGAACAGAGGAGGAGATATCCACCAGGGCGCCGGCGCGGCAGGTATTAGGGGGGGGCTGGGGGGCTGGATCCAGGCGGCGCCAGCGCACGTTTGAGCATCCCACCCCCAAGGAACCCTGACGATGGGGTCGGATGCGTACGCGCGATATCTGGCAGATCGTTCCTTCCCTCCTCCCTCTCCTCCTGCTCCCTCCTGCTCCCTCTGCTCCTACTCTCCCTCCTCCTCATCTGTCTACCCCCCCTTACTCATCCTCCTCCTCCTCCTCCTGCGCCCCCCCTTCTCCTCCGCTCCTGCGAGCTTGCGCGCGTGGCGACGCGCGCACAGGAAGCGGTGGAGATGAAGGAGGAGGAGGAGGAGGAGGATGTTGTTTATGACGCTGTGCATGGTGACCTGCTGCAAGGCGGGGCACGCTCGCCCAGCAGACAGACAACACCCGGCACATGCGACCCACGATGAGCACGGTGCCTTTCATCCCCGAACAAGACAACAGCACCATCACAAACGACACGGACGTAGGGCCACCTTGCGCCGCTTGTGGCACTGCGGCGAGCAACAGGCTTCGACCAACCATGAGGACTCCCATCCGTAGCTTGGCATAGCGCAGCCCCGACCGAGATAACGAAATGGCCTTACCCAAGATGAGCTCCACGTCGACGAGCATGCCGAGCAGCATAAACCTGACAAGGGTGCATCAGCACACCAGCTCCATGGCAACGTGGCCCGCGCGCTGATTGACGCAGGCGGCGCCCTCCAAGCGCACGACCGCCAGGAAGAGCCGAAGAGGTGCGAACTTCCACACAGCACAGAAAGCCTGGGCCTACAGCAGTACCCGCATCGCAGTCGCCACGCCGAGAGCTCCCCCATGAAGTCGAGAGAGCAGGCGCCCGACGAGCTGCGAGACCTCCCAGCATCGAGCCCCGCAGGTGCTGGACCGCCTCGCAGACCGCCAGAGCCCGTGCAAGGCCGGGATGCCCAGCCAAATTCAACACCACCAGAAAGAAGCACAGCAGGCAGACGAGGGAGACAGCAAAAACAAGGTACCGAAGGCCCAGCCAGTCACTTTCATCGCCCCCAGGACCCAGAACACACAGCCAATTCCAGCAAATGGAGCACAGGATGCCCTCAGCCCAGGAAGGCGAACGATGACCCAGCTGAGCACCCCCAGTGCCTCCAGGAACCATGTACCAAGCCGGCTCCGGTAACTTCACGAGAAAGTGCACCTCAAGTCCATGAAGGCACACGAAGAGCCACAGAGCATCTCCAACGCCTGCAGGACCCAGAACACCCAGTCGGCTCCAGTAGCTTCATAAAAAGGCACATTAAGGCCATGAAGGCATGCGAAGAGCCAGCAGAGCATCTCCAACGCCTCCAGGACCCAGAACACCCAGTCGGCTCCAGTAGCTTCATGAAAAGGCACATTAAGGCCATGGAGGCATGCGAAGACCCAGCAGAGCATGTCCAGTGCCTCTTGGATTCAGAACACCCAGCCAGCTCGAAAGTACCATGAGCCCATGGAGGCGAGCGATGACCCATCAGAGCATCACGAACACTTCCAGAGCCCATAACACCCATCTAGCACCAGCAACGCCAGGAAGACCACGTTCTGCGTGAAGACCAGTTGGTCCAGGTACTGGGGCTGCCAGATCCCACCGCGGGTCCTCAGTCTTTGGCGGCTCGATGCTTGCCACGAATGGTTAGAATATCGTAGGTTCCAAGGACCGCCTCGAAACGATCATGGAACATCCTGGGAGAAAAAATAAGGGACAGGCAAAACACATGGAAAACATGATGGTTGTTCCACGTTGCTTTGCTCTCTCGGGGTCGTCGTTGGACCCCCTTGGGCCATCTTAGAGGCATATGTGGGCCATCTTCGGATGCCTGGGGATGTTGAGGCCCTCTTCGGAGCCTCCTCGGGCCGTCTTCGAGACCTCTTGGGCGCTCCTGGCCGTGCGGTGGCGTCCCTACGGGAATCCTGAGGCAAGCTAGAGCGGCCAGGAATTTTAGGGACCCCCTCCCCCCCCCCACCAGGTGTTTTCCTTTGTAGGTAAGACCCCCCTGGCAGGCAGCAGAGATAGGGCTGGAGAGACAAGAGACAAGCAAGCCAAGGCACCACAGAAACACAAGGCGACATTCAAGGATCCTTCACAGCCTTGCGCCCCCCAAGGGGGTTGGCGGACCAAGATGTTTTACCAGCACTTTGCGGAATATGGGCATTCGAAAGATGAAGCTTTATGACAGGGGTTTGTTGCGGCACGCCCGCGCAACCCGCCCCCCATGTTGTGCAGGCGTGTTGGCTTCCAAGTCAGTGGCAGCATTTGGCTGGCCACCTAAGGGAGCACGTCTATTTTCGTCGCTATCGCAATCGACTAAGCACCATCGTCTTTGGAACTCCTCACCCTTCGGAAATCACGGAGACACCAATGACCTCTTTTGGACACGCATGACAAGCAATATTTCAGAATGGCGGAATGTGAAGGACCTGTTCGTGACCGCGACACGAGACCATCCAATTTTTTCCTCAAGGGCTACGGCTCTTCTCGCCCCGCCCAGATGGGCGCGGCTCGGCCCGCAGTAGAGCCGGATGGACGCTCGTTCGCTTGCCCTCAACCTTCGGAATCGTCGACAATTGTCTCCTTCATCGATGCGTGCTGGCCAGGTTGCCGCACAGACGGCCTGCGCAAAGTGGCAGTGTTGTTGGCGCTGTCGTCTGTTACTTGTCTGTCCTTCCGCAGGGCGGCCGATGAGACCCCTCCCCCCTCCTCTGAGGAGGGGGAGGGGGAGGAGGAGAAAGGAATCTGACGAGGGGGAGGAAGGGGGAGGAGGGGAAGCAGGGGGAGGGGGAGGAGCAGGAGGAGGAGGAGGACGAGGAGGAGGAGGAGGACGACGACGAGGAGGAGCAGGAGGAGGAGGAGGACGAGGAGGAGGTTAGGAGGAGGAGGAGGGGAGGAGCAGGTGGCCCTCCTGCCCTGGATCTGGAGGAGGACAGGAGGGGGGAGATCTCCGCGTTCAGGCGAGGGGAGGGCGCAGCGCGGACGTCGCTGAGGCGAGGCCCACCTCTGAGCGGGCCCAGCCAGCGCCGCCCGGCACTGCTTCCCTTGCCTTCCCAGACGCCTGGCGCCTCGAGAGAATCGTGGCGGCCAGTTGTTGTCACCACCTTTCGGTTCTGGAGGCCAGTCTCGGACCGACGGACCTTCAACACACGACCGGGGACGAACAATTGGCCTCGGGCAAGTAGTCGGGGGAAGACGCATCGAGACTATCGGAGCGCCAGGTGTATGGGCTCTCGCCCGTCTCTGGGCCGAGATCCGCCGCGTGCCCTCTCCTCTGCCGCGCGTCCTCCAGGACCTGCCGAGTGAAGCCGCACCCTGCCCGGCGGTGGGTTCGTGGCGTGCCGACGCGGCGGCGACCCCGCCGCGGGCCTTCAAGGTGGAACGCCGCCAGTGGCCCGGAGTCGGCCGAAGGATCCACGCGGTGCCAGAAGCCAGCGCTGGGGTCGTCCCGCCACGAGCATGCCTGCCGTGGCCGCCGTGCCCCTCCCGGCCGAAGGGGCCCTCACTCTGCGCACTTTTGCGCGTCTCTGCTTCTCCTGACCCGGGGAGGTGGGGGGTCGAACAGCGGCCTCCCCCCCGGGCTGACACTTGAGCACCGCACCTCGGCGGGGCTGCCTGCACGAAAGAGCGCGCTCGATGGCGAACTTCTCCTCCCATCCGTCGTTTTCATCCTTCTCGGAGGCGTCCAGGATGGGGGCGAGGACCAAGGCGGGCAATCATGGCCGGGGCCATGAAATCGCCCCCGATCTCATTTCCTGTCTTCATGATTCGCATTGTTCGTCAGATTTCGCCTCTAAGCATCATGTTTGTTCATTGCGTATTCTTATGACTAGCCATTGTTGTTCTCTTTCGTCTTGACATTAACACTATTTCGTTGTCATTCGTATGTTCGTACATCCACTGGTTCCCCCAACGTCCGCGCACATGCGTCGGCCCGTGATTTTTTACGTCCCCTCGTGGACGCCCTTACCTTGTGAGCTTACCTCGAAGGCCAGCTCGGGGTGGAAACGGCAACGGCCGAACAGCAATCGCGGCAGAATAATGTCAAGGGTGGAAAGCAGGGTTATGCACCATGCTGGCTGAGAGGAAAGATTGTCCGCTGGGGTGCTGACCAGGCGGAGAAACAAATATAGAGAGTGAAGGTGCTCGGGGCTGACCCTTTCATTGTGTCCAGCCCTTGCCAGCCTCCTTCCAGGTCTTCGAAGGCCCGGCCATCATTGCATCCATCAACTGTTTCTTGTTGGCTCCAGCCCTGGTACGTGCTTTCGTCCCTGGCAACGTCCACAGCATGAAGTGCTGTTCGAGTCTGGTTGCACCTTGTGCCTGCCGGCATCTGGGCTGCGCGCACGCGGTGGCAGGAAGAGCAGCAGTGGATCGCACGGGCGTGCGAGGTGTATCCCAAGAGGGTATCGGATTCTTCGCGCGGCTGGCATGTGAGATGCAGCGTATGCTCGCTTCTTCTGTGATAATCAATGCTCAAGTCAGTTCCTTAGGAGCAGCCCCAGAGCTAAGCCAGCTCAAGAGTGAGGTTTAAGAAGCGCGTCATGCACCCAATGATGCCGAGCAGCTCCTACTCTCCCTCTCATTATCTTCACTGTTGCAGCAGACTGTGACACCTGGCCGAGTTGATGGTCGAGTTGGTCTTGCGCTGGTCGAGGGTTCATCACTACTGAACGGCCCCCGTAGTTCACTGGCTGATCTTCACAGTTGCGCGCAAAGAAAGCACAGAGATGGCGAGGACGAGAACGATGAGAGACGAGGAGCAGATGAGGAGGAAGAAGCATCCCGCCTCCTCCTCATGGACCTCCCTGGGCAAAGTGGGAGTATCCCCAGACTGCGCGACATGGTGAGGCAGCTTCTCGTGCGGTGTTCCGATCGGGACTCCTCGTCGACGTCGGCACTTCCACTCCTCTCGAGGCGCCCTCCGGGATTGCGGTCAACTTCGCTGGTCGCAATTCCGGCCGATTCAAACTACGTTGGGGATGCCGTGGTCGGCACCCTGGGGAAGCGCCGATCTCGGCCAGATTTGGGGGCCCTCCTGCTTCGCGTTCCCCGCTCGCGCCTTTGCGAACAGCGCCGACGTCGAGAAATTCCGCCCGCGCGCAGGCCCGAATGCGAAGCTTTGGACTTGCCAGACACCCGCCCGCGCGCTTTGGCAAGCCCGTGGTGCGCGTGGCACGGATCCTGCTTCGAGCATCAGCGGCCTTGCAAGGACGTTGCAGCACTCGGCTCCGTTCCGATGCAGTTGGGCAGCCCGCATCCTCCTCGTCATCCTCCTCTTTTCCCCCTCGCCCCCTCCTCTACTCGTCCCTCATGCCCTTGTCATCTACTTCTTACCCCCCTCCTGCTCTGTCCCCCTCACCTTCCTCCCTCCTCCGAAACATGTTCGTCGTGAACGTGCTTCCATATCACGATCGGCGCCTTCAACCTGCACGCGGCAAGGAGATCCGCATCCAATTCGTCTTTGACGCGGCCCAACCATTACCTTTGATTCGTCCGATTCGTCTTTGACGAGGGTGGTATGCTGTGATTCCCCAATCAGAGCTTGCCTCTGTAGGGGTCCTCGCGGATTCATGTGGTTAGGTGAGGTGCGCCCAGGTGTCCGGGTGCCTGGTGGCCTTGTAGCCTTATAGCCCTCTAGCCCTCTAGCCCTGCAGCCTTATATAGCCCTAATAGCATTACAGTCATATAGCCATATAGCCCTACAGCCCTATAGCCTTACAGCCTTGTAGCCCTATAGCCCTATAGTCTTATAGCCCTAAAAGCTTTTCTCCGATATCATATGGTTAGGTGAGATGCGTCGGGCGCCCCGGTGCCCAGGAGGTGCATCGCCAATTTCGGCGGCCCGCCCGGGTGCCCAGGTGCCCGGTAGCCCTATAGCCCTATAGCCCTATAGTTCTATAGCCCCATAGCCCTACAGCCATATAGCCTTGTAGCCCTATAGCCCAATAGCCCCACAGCCCTATAGCTCTATACATATATATATATATGTGTATATGCCTATACCCCTATATCCTTGTAGACCTATAGCCCTATGGACCTATAGCCCTAGAGCCCCATAGCCCTATAGCCCTAAAAAGATTATGATTGGGGCTTTTCTCATGTATCATATGGTTAGGTGAGTTGCGCCTGGATGGCGGCCCGCCCGGGCGCCATGGTAGCCCTATAACCCTATAGCCCTACAGCCCGATAGCCTTATAGACCTGATAGCCCTACAGCCATATAGCCCTATAGCCTGATAGCCTTATAGCCTTATTATAGCCCTAAACCCCAATGATGCCGGAGAAAACCCAATCATAATAATGTTAGGTCTATAGGGCTATGGGTCTATAGGGCTATAGGGTTACAGGGCTATAAGGCTATGGGGCTATAGGGCTACAGGGCTATAGGGCTATAGGGCTAAAGGGCTATAGGGCTACAGGGCTATAGGGCTATTGGGCTATATGGCTATAAGGCTATAAGGCTATAAGGCTGTAGGGTTATAGGGCACCCGGGCACCCGGGCACCCGGGCACCTGGGCACTTGGGCACCCGGGCACCCAGGCACCCAGGCACCCCGGCACCTGGGCACCTGGGCACCCGGGCACCCAGGCACCCAGGCACCTGGGCACCCGGGCACCCGTGCACCCGGGCGGGCCGCCGAAATCGGCGGCGCACCTCACCGAGCACCCAGGCACCGAGGCACCCGGGCGTGCCGCCGAAATCGGTGGTGCACCTCACTTAACCATATGAATCCGCTAGGACCCCTACAGAGGCAAGCTCCGATTGGTGAAGGATAGCAGAAATGGCAGAAAACAATGTCAAAAATAATACTGGAGAAAAAACCCAATCATAATCTTTTTAGGGCTATAGGGCTATGGGGCTATAGGGCTATAGAGCTTTAGGGCTATAAGACTCTGAGGCTATAGGGCTATAGGGCTATAGGGCTATAGAGCTATAGGGCTATAGGGCTATAGGGCTATAGAGCTATAGGACTATAGGGCTATAGGGCTATAGGGCTATAGGGCTATAAGGCTATAAGGCTGTAAGGCTATAAGGCTATAGGGCTATAGGGCTATAGGGCTACAGGGCTATAGGGCTAAAGGGCTATTTGGACTATAGGGCTATGGGGCTACAAGGTTATAGGGCCAGAAGGCTATAAGACTATAGGGCTATAGGGCTACCTGGGCACCCGGGCACCGGGGCACCCGGGCATCCGGGCGTGCCGCCGAAATCGGCGCCCCATCTCACTTAACCATATGAGTCCGTTAGGACCCCTACAGAGGCAAACTCTGATTGGGGAAAAAGATTATGATTGGGGCTTTTCTCTGGTATCATGTGTGTGTGTCACTTTTTGCGTGTTTCCACTAATGCTATATCGCCAGGGCAGTCCCTCTGCCTAGCCGCCGACGAAAAAGTGTGTGTCATGGGGAGGTTGCTATCCTGGCAGCTCGGCGCACTGCTATTCGATGTTACAATCAGCCCTGCCTTTCTCGTTGCTCCATCCTTCCTATTCCCCCCTCAGCAGCGGAACCACAGTTCTAATCCTCTTTATCCCTGTCCGCATCCATTGTCCGCTTTGCAGTCGTAACGCACTGCGATGTTCTGCTTCACAGCCGAGTCCCTCTGTGCACGCAATCACTCTGCAACGCCTGCTTTGCACGTCCACGAAGAGTTGCCAAGCGCGCGCTCCTCTGCCCACGAGTCCCTCTGGGTGCTCGGCTTCTCGCTCGTGCTCGCGCCTCCCCATCACCCGTTTTATTCCAGTGACACTGCTCTTCGCCGACGGACCTTCCTGCTGTTCTTCGTCCCCTGTGTTCCCGCGCATCCTCCCACACCTCTGCAGCGCAAGGGGCGCCACCGCCGCACGTGCGCGTCACTGAACCGTGTCTCTTTGCTCGTTCGCTTCCACATGAGATGGGCCCAGATGGGGCCACATAGGGCCGCCGCCGTGCTGGAGGGGAGGCGTGGAATCGCATGGAGAGCGTTTCTTTATCCCCTGGCGATAACGCGTGAGACTTGGGGGGCGAGAGGGGGGAGGGGGCCAGTCACTTCGCGATTCGCGCCGCCGCCAATTGGAACTGCCTGGGAATGGCTCATTCCCAGACGGCGCCGACGCGAAACGTGACGTGACCAGGGGGGGGGGGGTGGCAGGGAGCGAGGCCGATCACGGGCATCATCGCGAATCTCAAAAAAGTGAGTTCACGGCGTGAGACCGAGCGGGAGCGCAGAGACGAGGGAAGCGGTGAGCGGCAATGGCCGATAGTACGCAGAGTTGAGCTGCTCATCGGGAGACACCCCCCCTCGTTCGCCTTGCAATGCCCAGCGTGTAGCCTGTGGCTTTCAAGAAGCTGGCCCGATTTACGTATGCTCCCCAATCGTCGCCCTCCGTCACCCCACCAGCGAAACGCAAGAACATTGGGCGGGCGGGCGGCAAAAACAAACCCTCGCACCGCGACCTCCCCGAGGCCCCCACACAGGGCAGGCGTTCGCCCTGCCAGGCCAAGAGCCCCCCCCCCCCGCACGGAGCACTCGCCTGCCCTCCCGGGCCGAGAGCACCACCGGATGGAGCACACACGCCCTCCCCGGCCAGACCAGGTTGACA